CCAGTTTGAATCTTTCCATCAGATTATCATTATTTGTTGTTGAATTTGTCGTTTTCATCTTGTCATATTTCATTCATGATAAATCATGTGATTAAATATTGCAGAATTTAGTATATGTTTTACGCGTGCAAATTAGCAGTATTATGAATCATTACTAATTATTATTAATCATTATTAATTATTATTATTATTATTGTTATTATTATTACTATATCATCATTGCTATATCACTGTCGCTACGTAGCGTTAACCGTTTTTACTTTTCATTGCTGCTTCATGTCTGATCGTATATGTCTATAACACTATCTTATAACACGAGGGGACAATTCCAAATGCACGGTGACGAGAAAACGGATCGTCGTCAAGTGGATGGCATTTATCCCGATATGAATTATATTTTCTTCAAAGGTGTACCGAAAATGATTCAGGTATATATAATCATTCTTAAAAAATCGACTGCAATTTTCAAATAGCTTTTCTTTTTAAGAAATTAATAGCATCTAATAGATCGTACATTCTTATGAATGTATAAACCCAAAATTAAATTCATCCCTCAACTTTTAAATTGTTTAAAATTTTGGTTTGAATGATTTAAAATGATGCTAGGATGAAGATAAAAAGAAGTTTCAAAGTTGATAAACAAAGTTCCAATTGATGTTTGAACATCTGTTCCTTTTATCGAAAATTTAGCAAAATAATTTTTTAAGAGGTCATCAATATGGGTTCTGTTAAACTACTACTCGATGTGTGCAGAATCAGGTTAAATATTCAGTTTACGCTGTCAGGCGTGCTTTGAATCAGTTTGAACAATTATCCATGAAGTTAAAAAGTGATCAGCCTGATACACAAAAGATTTAAATTTAATTTTAAGGTAGTAGATGATATGCATCGGACGAGTGATTACATAACGGATCTACGCAATATGACCATTGGATTTGCATGTTTATCATTTATGGGAGCACTGATATTTCTTTTGCGACAAACGCGAAAACGCAGCGGTACTAATAGGCACGAAAGAATGATTATGGCCAACTATCTTGAGGTCATTTGTAGGCCTTTTGATTTTAAAACACATGAATCTGCGTTCATAGCTAAAAAAGTGCAACACTTTAATATTTTGGGTCAAGATAACCACAAGAGTACCACTAGACTCACATATCAATATTATACATGTGAATTAAAAAAAATTCCAGGACCAAGAGAAGTCAACACAGCCGTGTAGTGGTGCTTGTAGAAAATGTTCCGAATCTTGGCATGGTACAACAATGAAAACCTCGGGATTCTAGCTTTTTCCATATAGTTCCCTTTAGAAAAAAGAAGTCCACATCTCCCACGGCAAAAGTAGGCGAATATGCGGAGATCAGATTCACAAACATAAATCACAAATCACGCTAACAAATTTCCCTCAAAGATGTATTCATTCAACCTTAACAAAAGAACTTGAAGATACCGAGTTCTGTTCAATGCAAATTCGCAAAATGAAAACATATGTTAAATTCTGACCATCCCCAACACCCAACCTTAACAAGAGAACTTGAAACTCGGTATCTTCATATAATATTAAAATGTCCTTTCCTATTACTCCACATCATATCCAAGATTCCTGCTTACCATTTCAGTCCTTATCGCTTTGTTAGCTTTAAAGTTGAAAAATCAAAACCGTTCTAGACCCACAACCCAATTTTAGAGGATTCAAACATTCACTCCGAACTATGACGCAATTCAAACACACCACATCCCCATCAGTATTTAATCACAGGATTCCGAAAGATCACAACTATATCAAAGTTTTTCGTAAATCAAATTATTATATTTAAATCAAATTATTTTCAATTCAGAAGAAATTTGTTATGGTTTTCAGTCCACTGTGAGTACCTGAAAGCTGATAATCCAAACGCCAATCCGGAAATCTCGCCAAATACACTCTGTCGCTAATGTTTATGTTTTCATTCAACTTGAACTGGATCAATTCTATGCTGACAGCGATTTTTACTCTGGAAGACTTCCATTAAAATTCATACTATACCAAAACTTTACTTTGAAGTCCTTGTATCCGAACGCGCTTCAGAAAGGTACAATTTCGTTAAGATTAACTGTACAAGTCTAAGAACGATTAAGCGCAAAATTCGTTAAAAAGTATATCACAATGAGATGGTAAAGCAGTAAATAACTGAAAATGGCATACATATTTTGTAATAAATATTAACTACAAAGCTCGCACCGAGCACTTAAATGGGGAAAACAATAATGCATAATTTACAATTCTCGATATAGATACAATATCTGCAATACAACGTTCGCGTTAACCTCTCCGCTGGCGTGTTCTCTTTGCCTTCTCAAACTTATTAAGCTACATTTGACAGTTCCCTCCTTTGACTCAGACCTACGTCTCCTCATGTTTTCCAATGATCCGAAAATCGACTAAAAGTCCCCAAACTTCGAACAAAAATGCATTCATCACGAATAACACATCGAAGAAATAGAAACAAATTAAAAAATGTCGATCAACTTGCAGAAAGTTTATAGGATAAGCCTGGCTCGTTTACGATGTTAATCACATCAGTAAGCACCATGAACATACAACACAACGTCAAATTTAAATTTTATCACTATCCCATCTACGAGCTATTTCCTGAGATAATATACTTAATCAATCATTTCTCTGAAGTCCCACAAATTTCTAAGGCTATTTTACTTGAATTTGAAATATTTCAAATACTGACAGTATCCTCGGAATATAATGGTCCCCGCCGAACCGCCAACTGACCACTACGACAGAGTACTAATTAGTTCTAGCACTCCACCACCCAACACTTTTCACGATTCAGAGAAACAAGCCTGAACCAAAATTTCCTAACTTCCAATTTCATACTCACTGCAGAAGTCGACGTTCTTTATAAGACACATTTTATATTCGTTATTACTATCCAAACCCATATTTTTCGGACATACGTCGAATTTCAGATCCTTGACACAACCTACCTTATCTGAAAATTTCGTTTATTTACTGTAGAGAAGTTCCAAAAATACCCCAGAAATAATCCAAAAAAAGAAAAAAAACGTTATAAACCCAACCAAAGTCAATCGCCTGACCACAGATAGAAAGTTAACGAAACATAAGGACTAGATATATACAAAAAAGAAAGAAAGGAGTATTAATTCAAACTCTATTAGCCTTGTGCTTTGGGACTTCTTATTGCGTGACCCTTGCTATCTATGTGTCCTATTATTCCTGCATCACAACTTACTGAAATAAGGGACAAGATTTCGCATTTCAAATATACTATCACAAGTAACACCGCTAGTAACTTATGTAGCATGCACCATTATTAATATAAAAAAAATAAATAAAACTTACCTACAACGACTATTGAGGTGCAAAAACCACAGCATACTTTGCCCTTTCAAATGGCAGTTTCAACAGTGATAAAAATCAAAGAAAGAAGACACAGAGTTTGGAACAGCTGTGGCTCGAGGGTACAATAAAATTGAAAACGAAAACACGGGTACAGAAGAAGCCTCTTTCTTAACCGGCGATACACTTTGTGTTGAAAATCCTAGCTAAATCCTAACGCTTACGTTTCCACTTGCTTAAAACAGCATACTCTTTGCCGTAGAACGCCTGGGCTACATCATTCCTTCGTTGCAAAACACAACGGCACTCTTCTCTTTCCTGCTCGTTCATCGGTCGCCGTCTTGGAAATTCCGAATAATATTTATCATATACTTCAAACATCTGAAGAATATTCGTTATATATGGCAAATATCTTCCAAATTTTCAAAATTAAGCAGCAAAGAACTATGCATAGTAACTGGTAATCAGGTACTACAGCGGTGAAAATCCTTTGCAAGATTTGACAAGATAAAGAAAGATCTTTGGCAGATGCAAAAGCTAACTTCCTGATCTGCTTTGTCAAGTGCCTGCTCCAATTTCATTCGCAAATATTCCGCCAGCAAGCGATGCCAAATTTTAGCAACCATACTACGCCACGGTATCTCTTTCTCAGTAAGCTCTGCTTGTAATTTTTTGAAGGCTGCAGACACTTCATCCTGTATTGGAAAATATTGTGGTCGAAATCCATAAATAAACCGGAATAATAACTATTATAAGACCTAATAAATCACGCAGATTTTAGTCAATGAAGGTATCTCTTGATTAAACCCTAGCAGCTAACCTCACTATTATGTTTTTTACCGGATCCACATTTCCTAACTAACTCTTCCACATCTTCCGGTCCAACGATTTCTTGGATTACTTCATTGCATTTATTTGCATCAAACTTTTTATCTGAAAGTTGAAGAGTTAATTCATTAAATCTTATAGAAGAAATACTCTGAATTTCTAAAAAACATTTAAATCATTACCAAATCTACTGAGGTAATCAGCTATAGCATAATTTAACATTTCCAATGCATCCCCACAAGTGGCAGCACCATTCTCTTCAGATGCGAGACCATTTGGATGAGCGACTCGAAATACATCCTCCCTTCCAGTCCCTTCATTTTTTATTATCCAATCATTACCCTCAAGATGAACCAATGAGACCGGATCTTTTTCTAAAAATGCGAAACTTTTTCAAGAATAATGGAAACTACTTAAACGAATATAAAAAATATGAGAACTAGTTAGAATCCACGTAAGCAATGATGCTTCAGTTTGATCCTACAAGCATTAGCATTAGTTTTCCATAAATGAACATGTGCAAACCCAGGGTCTAAATCTTATTTTACGATAATTGTCTCAAAATACAAACAGAAATCTAACTAGGAGGACAATTTTTTTAATCCAATTTAAGAAGCACGCCATTGTAATGATTATCTAAGCTACCATTTTTTCCACCGACATACGCGCTGATGAGATCATCGAGCAATGATATAGTTTTCCCTGATGACTGTGACAGCGGTCTTTTATCATATCTAAAAGGGAGTCATAAGCAGCAAAAATATCAGAAATAGAAATTTCCCTTCTCAAGAAATCCGTTTATATCGACTACCTTGCTATTTTACTGGGCGGTGGAGATGAATCGTTGTTGAGCAGCTTCAACCTGACGGGTGAGGAGCTATTCTTACTGGATATGAAAGACCTGAAAACAAGCATGAGTAATGATGTAAAGCTACTCAAATCCATTAGAGATAAATTCGAAAAAGAACTGAATTCTTTGAAATCCAAAACTAAAAGTGATAAAGAAATCACTATCTTAGAATCTAAATAAGTTAAATGTCATTATCATTACCTGTTTCGGTGAAGCGATGTCAGGGTACCCCATTCCCATTTCGAAAAAGACGGCAGAGAGCTGATTTTACGATCGTGCAGTATGGTTTCGCAACGAGCACTTTTTTTCGCTGTCACTATAATGTAATGCATTAAAATCATATCTGCTTATAAAGAATTCCGAAGACCAATGACAGATTCGGTACACTTTATTCCACATACCAATTTTACCTCCCGAATTACCAATACATTTCCCATTCCTGCATCCATGCGTGCTCTCTTTCTAGTAAGCTAAAAAAGATCCCGATATCAACAATGAAAGGAAAATTTCGGGGATTTCAGTCAAGTATTCGTGGTTGTCTCGGATCCGAAAACGAATTACCTGCTTTATACCTAAGCTTAAATGAAGCACGCTTACCTCGTATATTCCAAAGTCCAACCCACCTGAAGAAGGTCAAGATGAATTAAAGTTTTCATTTCCATAACTATCTAGAAGTTAAGATATATAAGCACAATTACCTTCACACAACTCGGACCGCGACTTTGAGATACCATCATTACTAAAAAGTTGAACAATACTTGACCACCACTGCTGCAAGTATTCTTCATCTACAGGGTCGAGATATTCACGAGCGAAAACCCAGAATTTTTGGGACAAGTTGATTGGTGGCCAAACGTCAAAACCTTCATCAAGCCAATTTATTTCATCATCAGTGCATGGATCTTCCACAATTCTGAATCAAACAAAAAAATTTGATATTGGCTACTACAAAAACAAATATCTTCATTTAATAATAATGAAAAGAAAGAATTTTGGGAAATCCAAATTATTTCTGATCGCGTTCAACGCTAACAAATCTCCTCAAAAACTAACTCACGGTTCTCTCTCAATTTCTTTACTGCAGCTAGGTACAGGTTCCGAAATTTTGAGTTCATATACTGGCATCAGCCTGCTGGAGATATCATCAGAAGGGTAATCGCCGGTAGTGAGGAAGGTAATCTCTCCATAAATTTTCTTTTGGTGATCCGTCGTATGCACCAGTATTTGCTCCAGCTCTATTTGTAATTTATCCTGAAACTGTCTATAGCTGTAATCGAAGGGTATGAAAATTTTGGATACTTCTACTGTTGTACAGGTATCATATGCGGCTATGCATTGAAAGAGAAAATTTTCGTCAAATTCATGCTAATAGGAACAGCAGTACCAATTAGCTTTATAAATATAAGAAAAGACCAAGTCAGAGAAAGCAACAGCAACATTCTGGCAGTCTTCATCACTTGTCACAGTTAGCAGCTTTGGACAACCATGCAAATAATCAAATTCGGCAAAATCAGGCGTTGGCGTCACCAAATCATTCAGAGGTCCACGCCTTGTATGTAAAGGAGATAATGCGCCTGCAAAAAAGCATGAAATGAATAACAGAATGTTATCAGAATATGAAGAGTTTGAATAAGAACTTAAACTAATACAAGCTGCCTGAAGAGCGTTCACTACAGTTTGATCATAATAAACCTGAAGAAAATGAATTTATACGACAATTGTCAACACATCTTTACCAAAAACTTCATAAGTTAGAGATATCGCTGACCTGCCTTAAAACGATGAATATGGTTGAGATAGGAAGAGAACAAGAAAACCTCGCACGATAGAACGATCTTATATTATTAAAAGTGAATCGCCATATTATTCATAGAGTAACTCTATCGAATGATGATGTAGCATCGGAGAGTGAAAATGAAGATAAAAGAGCTCACCGTTCATACGTTGCCTGGATTTGTCATCCGAAATTCGAGAGAGCTTGTACGATAGTGAAGAACTAGGCGATCTTGTCAAATGCGAGCTCTCTATTCTCCTATACTTCATGACCTCTCTAACCGTTCTAAAGTACCCATTGGCTCGGCAAATGACGTGTGAACGTGCGGCGTCTGAATACCAAACCCTCTACTTCTCCAACGACGACCAAGCCACACTACTAACACGTCGTATACACCAGCATCACCTACTCACTAAATTCCAAGCTTTGTGCAAGCGGAAAATCTGGCCAATTGCCAATTCCTGTTAGGACTCTCTTGTATATGCCGGGGTGTTATATCATAAAGTTCAAAGTGTGGAGATTATTGGAAATAATTCAGGAGATATTAACGCTCAGCTGTTGATAAAGGGAATGACTCCAGGATATATTGAAATGTAAACAAAGGTACCATTTAAAGAAGATTATCGTTTATTTGATAGCGGCAAATAGGATCACTGGACGGACGCTTGCATCATATACTTGATAAATAAGATCATAACTTGCATACCAAAAACTAAATGGATTAAGTGCCTATAATGTTTTAATTTTGCAATTGGGTTGCTTCATTTCAGTAGCTCATTATTTCTAGAAGCAGCCAGTCTTAAATTCTTAAATTGTATCATCTCGATTATCGCAGCTTACTACGAGAAACTTCTAAAAATTGTAACTTTGGTTTGAAGAAATTCGCTGTACATTTTTAAAAATGTCTGATTATTCAGAAATTTGAAGTCTCATACGAATATCACCAGTATCCATCGATATATTTCACTTGAACGGTATTTGCAATATTTGCACTTTACCACCGACTGCAAGCAGACTGGAATGAAGTTTAAAACACCTACGCTGTTATCTTCTTACGAGAGTTCACGCTTGGCTTCGTTCCGTAAACAGTCATCCCACTTGAAGAAGTTGCGCTCTCAGTATCTAAAAGGACTGATGTTACGCTATTTGCATATAACTAAATTTTTTCCTTGTCCATAACTGCCCAATAATACGATAGCTATTTGATTCATTCATCTACCACTTAGGCTATTTATAAGTTGATTCCCGACAAAAATCTTGTATAGTATTATTCAAGATATGATAACAATTCACTAACAAAATACTGTGGATATAGGACGGTTACGTAGTGTTTTCAACGAAATATATTGCGCGACAACATATAGTTTTTGGTTATAGCGGCACGCTAACATTTATATAATAAAACTTTGATTTCTTTTTGAATAGAAAAACCTATATATCTACCGGTTTCTCAAAGATATTTGACATACAAGAATGAGTTAAAAATGCTTACATCCTGAGAAATAACAGCGGTATAAATATGGTCTGCAGTGGTTTATATATTGCAGTCCAAAGAGGGCCTATCTCCTACGGTTGATTTCTTCTCATCGTCGCTTGTAGTGACTCTATTCAGAATTGCTCTTTTTGAATGGACAATCCTAGTTTCTCGATGAGAAATTACTTACTATCTTATCTTTCTGTTTTCCTATTCCCGCCCTCGCTTTTGAAGCACACGCACACATTTACCTGACCCAGTGTTGCAAAATTACATGGACTTTATTTTCTTATCCAACCCTCGTATATCCGTTTGTACATTCTTATTAGAAATGTATCATGTTCTAATTGACTACAGTTTTGACTCACAGTTATTCCGCTATGTATCAATATGTCATCCAGGTCCTTCTAGCTATCTTCGCCTTAATCTGAGATAGTTCCCAAGTGTTTGATGATATTCATTTTTTGGAATTTTAAAACATGCTTAAAAAAAAGGAAATTTTTGGCTATCTGGAATAGTCCCAGCTGGCAGTGAAATGCTGCTGCAGAACAAATTCCTTAATATTCAACGTACTAACCACCACAATGACTTTATATGCTATTGCAAGCTTGAGTCCAGTTTGACGAAAAAAAAAATGTCAAGAATTATGATGCTGTAGCTTACTTGCAATTCTTTCCTAATTGTGGCTAATGACTGGAAACATATCGTATCCTTAGATGATTGCTTTAACCGTACTATTTCTGAACAGTCAATTTATATTAATGCAGCTCATAGTATGGACAACAATGTATACACATTAGGGCTGAGTGGATCAATATTTCCCGTCCTAAAATTTGTCCTCACTCATTTTTTCACTATTGCGCGCCATGAACAGACTTCAAACTTTGAGCCACAGCGCGACTACAATTTTTGCTTATGGGACAGCTGCGCAATGTCCCAGTGCTCAATTTGAGCGGTGGTCTCCGATACAGTTTCTACTCCAAATACAACTTGTCTGCAGAATTGATTTTGGCGGCTTTTTGAGCTAAACTGTAACTGGATTTAAGTTTCTTCCAAAATTTAAGCTCCGAATTTCCCAACACTTTCTGGAATCAAATGTACGGGTTGTTGAAGCACCATCTCTGTTACAAGACTCTTCCACCTTTGGCCACAACCTGGAGTGAGCAGCAAGGAAACTGTGGAATACGACCAGAGACCACCAGCGGTAGTATCGGCCGTGCTTCCTTTGCCTATCCCAGTGACGTTCACAACTACTGCGATACTGATATCTTGCTGCCGCGCGACGACGCGACGAAGACAAATGAAGAGGTGGTGTGGCACGACCGACATCAATTGTTCAGGCGTTGTCTATGAGTGTCTATTTGGTCGGTCGGGCGGTCGGTATCGGTATTTGTGTGTGTTCATGTATATATCAGCGTATGATAGGTTTTTACGCTCAGGGAAGCAGTGTATATACTACAAAGGTGGCTGTATTATGAAGTGGGGTCACGTACGCGTAAGTGGGAAGTGGAGGGCGGAAATACATTCACAGTGGTTTGTTTTTCATTGAGCTCTTGGTGACTTTTCGTAACTGTATTACTCAACTCTTTAGTTTTAAGAGTTTTTATTTCTAGTCGCAGGTGAGGAAATATCACGAGATAATATATAACTGACACAATTTCAGTGATGAACGGGACCAGAAGATGACATCCTTTTATGGATTTAATTATAGTAATAAGCTGGTTGCCTTGTTTAGATCTATATCGAACTTTGCTGTGGACAAAACTTACAAGTTCAGGGGTGCGTGTATATGTGTGTGTATATGTATGTGTGTGTAGTAGAAGGATGAAACATGGGTTAGAGACTAACTGGAAAACAAGTGTGCATACTGACTCTTTCTATTACTTGTCAGGCAAGTCTGTTGTACTTTTTTTAGTTCTAAGAGTATCGTGCTCGTATTTAAAATTTAAATATTAACAGTGAGCGCCAACAAATTTTTACCGTCATCCTTCCAGCCAGTGAGCCCTGCACTAGCACTTTTTGGGTAGGAGTGAGTGAACTTCTCGACAGTATTATTCAAGTGCAAGTGAAACCTACATCTTAGTTGTTGGGAAAATTTTGGTTCCTTTTATTATATCATGAAATCAAACCTACCATAAACTTTATTAGTTGACAAGTCTGTCACTTGAACACTTAATGACGTGTTGGGATCTCGTAAACAGTTAAAAGAATTTGCTATGAGATATGGTACCTTTTTTTTGAAAAATGAGGATCCTGATTGGAATAGCTGCTTAGGCTAAGCCGTTGGGTTTTGATATCAGTTTTAATTCAAAAGCGTTCTGTACGAGATGCGCAAATCCTAAAATTATATCTCAAATATTCAGAGTGATTTAACACGTCGTAGAAAACTAAATATATGCCAATAGAGGTGGATAGGCTGAAGGAGCGTTAAAAAAGTACACTATATTATTAATGGTTACACTTTTATGATACAGAAGATTGTTGACGAGTCCGAATTAAAGGTTGCAATACTGAGAGTAAGTTTCCCTGTGTTCCTTTTCCAAAATGACTCCGTTTTACCCCTGGAGAAGAGCGTGGTAAGATTTTCAAATTATTTTGCAAGAATCAATTGGATTTGGATTTAGGAAAGGACCTGTGCAGGTTTTACCTTACTGTAAAATGTTCATTTTATCCAGGCTAGTTTTTAGTCCATGAATTCGAGCTTGAAAGATGCTGGGAAAGTTAGTCCGTTGGCTGTAAATCTAAGAATTTCGAAGATCTTTTTCAGAGTTCCCCCTCTCATCTTCAATAAGTGCTTGGATTATATAGATTCTTCATAAAGGGATTGATTTGTTGCCTCTTCCTCCCCCATACCGAGGATTTCCAGTTAATCACGGTCAGGTTCCATTTCTTTAAATGCTGTCGAGTGGGTTTTGGTGTTGAGTCGACGTGGACCGCCACCGTCAATACATATTGTGGTGTGGGGTATATGTTGCTCTGGGATCGATCGATATGTGGACGCCCTCGCATGCGGCAACTGCCTGAATTCGCACGCGACAGCTGTAACCCACCGAAACCGAACGGATTGCAAACGTCGACCGGGACCCTCACTAACAGTTTTGGTCTTTCGGTTCTGTCGCCACTAAGCCACGTTTCCTTTACACCATCTGTAGTGACAATAATTTGTTTGCTCATGGAATTTCGAATCTGATCCAGATAACTTGTAAGTAAGGTTATTTTTCCTAATTGGATTGAAGCCGGAAGTTTTTTGTTATGCAGCATCTTCTATCGTTTTGGGGACCTACAAAGGCACCTTTAACATTTTAATTAGTCACTTATCAGCAATGTGGAAATAAACTGGGAAATAAAGCTGGATTGTATCGCATTTTTGCCTTATGCAAGAATAGTGCTAAGTGACCTGACTACTAAACACACGAATATTTCGGATGGGCCTTGACCTTCGGTTATTAGGCGTGTGGGATATTTTTCATTCTTCCGTAATGAGACAAACTGCTGTAGTACTGCTGTGCTGTAAAGCTAATGCTGGACTTGAGGGGGTCACTTTCTGGAAATGAATTAGACACTGATAACATTTCAACCATTGGATGCAGTGCTCACTTTCAGTGTTGGTTATGACTGATTCATTTCGAATGCAGTTCGACAAGAATTTGCTGGAGTTGAAAGGCTTGCTTACACTTGTTGGTCTGAAGTTCTTTTTTTCGATGTACTTTCCAGAATGTTACGCGTCGCGGGGTACTGTTCCCTGTTGCTGACTGACGTATTTCAAGTACAGGATGTTTCTTTTCAGTTGGTGCTTCTTCAACCGTTCTGTTTTCGCGATACATGTTATAAAATGATTACTTTGGATGATGAGGCAACGGCTAATAGTTGTAAAATAACTGAAAACGAAGTGCACCCGTCAGTTGGTGTTGACGTGGATTCTGCTTTGCAAGTAGTTTTTAAATTTTCGAAACATTTCACAATCAGCATCTCGGTTTATAACTCCATCGTATGCGGAGTCTACTTGCCCGCAAAAAATGAGATGGGACTTATTATTATTTGTAAGGTTGAAGTATAGTAGATTACAGTTGTCATTACAGTTGACTTGCTATTTTAAGTATACGGGATATTTTACAGCGATCTTTTTTTGATTTGTTTCTCATGGTCACATAAAGCCTTTAGATTATGTAACTCTGATAACCTCACCCATTTCTTTCCTGCAGACGTCGCTAAAGAAGGCTCAGAACAATTCAATCTCAGATAAAACTTCAAAGAATTATTTGGATAAATCAATAGAAACGATCAGAAACGGTATCTGGGGTAGTGAAAAGGTTGTAGACGATGAAGAACAGGATCGGGATGATAATAGTAATGGAGATTGCACTAAACCGACTTTCTCCGGTGAAAATGGTTATATGGACGGCGTTGATAAAAAGGGTGCGTTTTTAAAATCGTTCTCAAATGTGATATTTTGCAGGTTTCTTGTGTCTTACACTACCTGGCATATTACAAATTATTTTCAGAAGTAAATCTTAGGTTCTTTATTTCAAATCAGATTCGGTAGGATAGTTTTAAAAAAAATTGTTGGTTATTTCCTGAGATAATCGATAGATATTTCTCAGACGCTGATGAGTTGGATACGATGGAAAAAGATATTTTAATTGAAAACGAACCTTGCGGTAATAAAGGGAATGGTAAGACATCGATATTCACTGAAGATGGTACTAATAAATCGACAGCTGTGGAATGCATAGGTAAGCGATGTTGCAATTTTTGTAATATTGTCATCTTAACTGATTAATATTTATAACAGAAGTAGGTGATGTTCTTATTGCAATATTTCACGATTCGACTCTTATGTTGTTCGAGTTTAATATTTACCTTAATCTGCCGTATTTTCTCCTCTCAATGCCTGTTACGTTCTATATGGTAAAATAGCAATATTTTAATCATTTTATTGCCAAAAGTTGATGATTCGAATGTGTGCTTTGCATTACCACAGCTTCTACTGGGCTTGTTTGGAGTATGTTTTTTGAAAAACGGATTACTGGACTACTGTTATTCGATTTTATTTATACGTATATTGCTTATTTTTATAGAACTGGATGACGACCATGAAGAACCTGATTCGAGTGGTGAGCCACCTGCGAAAAAGAAAAAAGCGAAATCACCGGTGCCAGATGATCCAGACACTCAGGTTCAGTTGCGTCTTTCTCAGAACTGCAATACGCATTGCAGGTAAATAAGGGAAAATATTTATAAGCTTTTAGATGAAATATATTTTAGGCAGGGGAAAAGAAACCAGAATTGACGAGCGGTGAAGCTTTATTGAATAAGTTAGAGGCCTATGTCAAAGATGCAATCGATAAGAATGTGAATGTTGAAAGGTGAGCAAATTCTGTGGGGCGAATATAAATTTTGTAAGGATGTAATTCAATATTACGGTTGCTTTATACTTGTTGACGTGTCACTGGATTATTTATTCTGAAAAGTATTGGCAAATATCTCATCGTTGTTAACGCGAAAAAAAATCTTTGGAGGTTTTATGGTAAATAGGAGTAATTGGGGAGCAATGCATGGCGCAAGCGATCTTTAATGTAGTGGGTTTATTATGTTTAAAGGTATATCTAATGTAATTCAAAGATCATGAATTGATGATTTTCTTTAGCATCTTATCCTTGCTGCATTTTCTATGCAGGAAAGTGTTGGATGCATTATTAGGAGCTATTAATATTCAAGTGCAACGTGAACCTCTGTCAGTTCGGAAACTTATATTGGACAAACAATTGGTATTGCCAAACACTATTAGTTTTCCGCCATCGCAGGTATTTCTCAGCATTGATTAGAACTACTAGTAAACTGATTTTTCGAAAACTTGGGAAGATGTGGGAACAACCTGCTTTGGAACAAAACTGAAATGCTATAATGAGTTTAAGATGATGAGAGCATTTAGCAGATGAATTCTGTACAGGTTGTGGATTTGCTGATCGAACATGATCCGGATGCACCTTTGTCAAAAGTAATTGGGCGGATGTTTGGCGACGAGAGACCAAAACTTTCTGAGGCTGAAAAACGCGAACGACATTTATTAAAATTGGGGCATCCCGCTCCTCATATGACCAAGTTATTGATGGATATTGGACAAGATCTTGTCCAGGAATCAACATATTCAGACATTGTCCATGCAAAAAATTTGCCTGAAACTCCGAAAAATATGGAAACATATAAACAGGTTTTTTATATTCATTCTATAATTGTGATGAAGAACAAACATTTTAGCTCCGAAGTGCAAGGTCCCGCGTTTTATTACTGGTGGTCCATACTTTGGGGTTAGATTTCTTCGCTGGTGTCCAAATACAACTTGTAGAGACATTTATAAGTCGTGTTTAAGGTTGCACAGCAACTTAAACCAGTTTGGGAAGCCTTGCGGAAAAAAAATGAACCGTATAAATTGAAACAGTATACTTGTCAACTGTGCAACTTCCGGACTGAATCACGAATCATTCTTTCTGTGCATCGGCAAACACCACATTTTGATGGAAGGAAATACCAATGTGCACTATGTCCTGAATTCTTCACCAATGAAAATATGATTTCGCAGCATTATCTGTACGTTTTTTTGTCCAGCTTGCGTCATAAGTTGTCTCTCCATTACTTCCTAGATTGTTGTAATCATGAAATTTAATTCTGATCCGGTTTTGCAAATTTCAGAGGAGAGCACGACCTGGTAGCTGGGAAGGAAGAGGCCATTCCTCGAAACCCTTGTCCATGTTGTAACGAAGATTTCATGTACAAAGGACAACGGGACCAACATCTGAAAATGTGTCGAAGAGATCTGAATAGAGTTCGGTGAGTGCAAATTATAGTTTACTTTAGAAATATCCCAAATGGTGGTTTTCATCCGATCTGTGTGTGAATGGAACTAACGGATTTATGATCTTGGTGGTTACAATGGATTTCTTACCTTATCTCCTGCTTATATTCCAGCCTTATAATGGCACCAAAGCATCCACAAGACGTCAGTGCCATCAATCATTGGTTATGGGATAAGCCTCCTGTTGATCCAACAATATTGCAGCAACAACAAGTGGCGCAGCGACAACAAGTTGAGGTTTGTTTATAATTTTCTGTTTGTGGATAGACAATGGTGTCGTTGTTTTTCAGGACATAACGCCTTTCATTGTCTTTACGCATCTTTTGGAAGTTATGGACAGGATTCTATCTTCAGTAACCATTCTTTTTTGATTTCATTCCAGAAACTGCAACGTGCTCAGCTAGCACAGCAGCAGCAACAACAGTTGCAGCAACGACGTAGTCAGACTGCGGTGACTAATTCAGCACTTTTGGCGGCACAGCAACAGCAAGCTGCGCTCCTCTTGCAGCAGGTACTATTTGATGGTCGAAATTTATTTAGTTTTGCGTTTTTAAAATAAAATTCATGTGTAAATCTATATGGACATTAATACGTTCTGCTCTTCAGTTCAGATTGGAAAATATTTTTAGTCTTTGAAGTTTTGCAAAATAAGTATAAAAACTGACAGTTCTCTTCCCATGTTTCTATTTGATGTGCCGGGTAATTTAAAAGAATTTATAGCAGAGAATAAGGGCGGCACAAGCGGTAGCTCATCATCAGCAGCAGGCCAAGATGTCTTCTTTAATAGGAAATCCGAGTCTCTTGGCAGGTAAGGAAATAAAATACATGATTTCCGGTCTGTGTTAGAAATCAAGGATTTTGTATGGTATTCTGTATGCTTTGTTCTTATGTTATATGAAATAGACCAGTTTTCAGTTTTTAATATATTCTCAAAACCCTGTTCACTTAGATTTATTAATTTGTGATACTTTCCAGCGATGCAGCAACAGTTGCAGCGTGCTGCTGTTAGCGGAATGCGTACTCCAGGGTTGTCTTTATTCGCCCAACGTGGGGTAGCTGCCGGAATCCGTGGACCAACTGTGGCCCAACATGCGGCTGCTTCACTTGCCGGACGTATTAGAGCACCACCGCAAGTATTTTTTTTTTTTTCAGAAAAAGTGTGCAAGTTGTAGTTAACCTCATATATTTTACTGTTGACATAAAATATATGTCATATATTTTAGTGGCATAAACATTATAGTGTTAACAAAGTTTGTTGCTTGGGTTGTATGTAAGAGGCCGCATTATTATGATGATATCATGGGCTGCCACGAAGCATCGGGAGATATTTCTGGTGCAAATATTCCCGTCGTCTTTGTCTACCAAGCTAAACTAATTGGTGTTTTACTGTTCTCTTTAACTTCCTTTTTAAAGATGATAAAGATTTTTCTGTGCTTATTAAAATAGTTTAACAAAGAATTTCATATGAAAATTGTTGCAAGGTAAAAGCGGGAAGAGGTTTAGGTAAAACATGTTAGATCCTGTCTTCCTAAAACACACCCTGAATATCTGCATTTGTTTGCATGTAAGGAATTATAGTGATGTGTTGTTTTAATTGACAGCGTAGAGCATATTACAAAAATTCTTTTTAATTCATCTCCCATACTTTTCTAGACAAAGGTTTAAAGTGTCGAAGTATTCAGAGTGGAGTGTCATGAACAATGGAAAAAACTTGTGGTTTTCTTGCTTGCAGGTCCCAGCATCTCGTGCGCAACTGGCTGGAGTTGTATCATCCGGACATAACAACAATGTTTGTGAAATTTGTGATCAGAATGTTCAGGATAGGGACCGATATCTGACACACTTGCAACTCTTTCACAAGCAGATGCGCGGGAAAACATCAGCAGATATGCAACAGGCAAGCAAGCATTTTATGAGCTAGCAAATGCAGCTTGTTTCCAGCTTATATGGACGATTCGTTCAATTTTGTCACATAGATGTATCTATAATTCTCGGATCGTTCTACTTCATTCGTCAAATATATCTTTCATTTCTAATTATGAAATATGAAAATCTCTGTTGCAGGGTGCACCACTGGCTTGTAGTCGTTGTCGTGATAGATTCTGGACATATGAAGGATTAGAACGACATCTTGTCATGGCACATGGCCTCGTTACTTCTGATCTCTTAACTAAAGCACAAAAAAAAGAAGATGGTGGGCGTTGCAAACATTGCGGGAAGGTAATAATTATTCCTTAGTATTCAATATTGTTTACCTTTAATTTTAAATTGATAGCTTTCTCATTAAGCTTCATTTACAGCTTTCTCCACTTGGTCTTTTTTAACTGATTTAATTTGATTTAGAAACCAAATTTGTTCTAGCAATATGCGTTCAATATGTTGCAACATTTGGTGACGGATCATCAAGTAAAACTGTGTTCTGCTGAAATTATGTACAGCTGTGATGTTTGTGCCTTCAAGTGCAGTAGCTACAGTAAACTCGAAGTACATCTGAATACCGTACATCCAAAAAATCCCACGCAAAATTCTGCTTTGAATAATGCGATCAGCTCAACATCGGGTAATTTTGATTTGTTTACATTTCAGTTCATTTGTCTTAGATAAGCATCGCTTTGCTTAGCCAGCCACACGTAGCTATGCCCATGCTTAGCTTGTGGGATTTATGACAAAGGACCACCTGTTGCATGCTTTTTGTTCTTGATATTTGGGAAACAGATATGAATTCCGAAATTGGATTTGGTATCTCACAGACCTACTTCGTTTTGTTCACTTCAATTTTTGCACAGAGTTGATATGCATGTTTTTCTAGGCTGAGACGCAATTTTCGGAAACGTAGTTTCTTTATGGCACAATTACTTTCCGCTCGGTTATTTTCTAGTTTTGTGTTAACCGGTTTTTTTGCTCGCAGATTTTCCGTCCTCTTCTGAGGAGATAAGTAGCGAAGACAGGAACGAAGATGTGGCCAAATCTGAGTCGATAATTCAGGAGCCTGAGGATATAATATTGGAAAGTAACGGAGATTTAAAGGAATGGTGGGCCAGGTCTGGGCAAATTATCCCGAAATTTGAAGTGGTAGTACTTGGAAGTAACGAAAATGAAAATGTGGATGTCATGCATGATTTCCACCGGTATCTTCGGTTCAGCGCCGTCATCACGAAGAGAAATATGATAAAAGCAGGAAAGTTAGCCGATGAAGATAATGGCAACGTACATCGCTGTACATGTTCAAATCTCGAAGGATGTTACATGATTGTGATATTGTGTTCTAACTCGCTACAGTCTGGATGAAAAAAAAATCCAGACTATTAGGCGAGAAAGTTAAGCCTTGTACTGCAGATCTTGTAACATGTACTCCTATGAAAGCACTGTTCTCAATCTGGGTTTATGCTTCGTAGAATCGATCAGCATAGGCGACGCATGTAACAGGTTTGTTCACTATTGAAGACTTTTCTGTTAGGGTCGATTATTTATGATGTAGATAAGTATGCGTGGCTTAAGCTGAACACATCGGAATTAGCTATATAAAATTCCATAATTACTGAATCAGTAGTTTTATGTCATTAGGTTGGAATTAAATTCTTTTCGTAGTATCATATTTTAATCTTAATTCTGAAACTTTCATATTTTATCTAAAAGTTGTTGTGGAGAAATCGTCAGGGAAGATTTAGGTAACTGGGAACGGATATGAGAAATATGAAAATTTTGGCATATACTTCGATAGTTTGTTAAATATGGTTTAGTGGCACGCTGGTTCTAAGTTTGCGCGGACTTTTCTAACGTTTCCTTTGCGATGAAAGTGTGTCGCTACTAATTAACGGTTCTCCACCAAAGCGCCAGAAGCAGCAGCTATCATTAACAGAAAATGCTATTTCGGTGCTTTTTTGTTCCCAGCATGCTGCTAACAGAAATTTTGATTGCGCACCCCTTTTTATGATAAAATTCAAATTAATGCATTACTGTTTTCCTATTTTTCCCATGAATATCTTGTGTGACTGTGTTTGCGGTAGTAGCTTTTTTTAACCGTCTTCCTCTATGCTTACTGAAACGCAGCTACGCAACAGGAATTTCCCCGAATTCAAACCCAAAGATGTGTTAAATGCCCGTGAGAAGTGACCGTATCCATGGACAATCATTCTTTCCAGGATTTTCTTATTTTTAGTAAAATTTTTTCCATTTTAATATGGACAGTCTTGCTTTACTTTAGCTTTCTCAAGGCTAAAGCTTTGACCTTTATGCAGAATTCTAATTAGAAGACTATACATTTTGGTAGTCCGGAAAAGCAGCTCCTTTACCGCTTGTTTTCTATCTTGTCTACTTTGGACATTTAGTGAAATAAGGTGCTCGTTTTGAAATTAAGGGATTTCTTTAACTGAAATATGTTTAGGGGCAAGGAAGGTTTAACTTTGTGGGTCGCGGACTCTTCAGGCCATAGAGAGAGACGTCGATGCTATTTTTCCGAGCTGAGGAAATATTGCTCGGTATCCGGTGTACTGGAAAAATGTTACTTATTCTGAATATGTTTTTCATCATGTCTCAACACTCTGTTTATTATGCTGTGCAGCAGTTACCTATGGAGGATTTCTACATGTCAGTTAAAGATGGTGTTGAATGGGACAGTATTGAAAGTAAAATACTTGTAACGGGACGAAATGAAATTCACTTGGTGAGGGGAACAGTGTGTTGACTTTTTTCTGCCTATTTAATTTTACATTTGTGTGTTTCAAGTGAGATTTTGTTATTGAGCTATTCATAGCGTGTCTTCCGTTTTATGTCGCGAGGATCAAGATCAAGTTTGTGAATTTGTCGTATTTGTTATTTAGCGTAAGAACTATTTTATGGATAATGTTAATATTCCGAAATCTTTTAATTATTCATAGTGAATTGATTGTTTAAACGCACTATTCATTGATTTTTTTAAAAGTGTATTTTGAAATATTTATATTGCTGATATATTGATTTATACGTTGATTTATATGATTTATACGTCTATTATGTTTATAAGCTATATTACATTTTCAATTTCCATCCGCGATATGTTTGTACGTTTCATGTTATTGTTTGTATGTTAAATACCATGGTGTTTTGTATGCAAACCTCATTCAGGAAAAGGTTGCATCTTAAACTTCTCAAGTTAAAATCTTTTAAATTTTGAAAAGTGACTTTTGGAACATTGGTTTTGCGGAGGGGAATCTGTTATGTAACAACAGTAAAAGTTTGGAGTCTCTGCATTTCTTTATTCATCACATTATTTAATGACTGTCCTATTTTGTATTTGAGTCGGCGGTAACGCTTCTTAATGATGTGTAGCCAAGGCTTAAGAAGTCTAAAGTCAGTCAAAGGAGGCTGAGTGTAAACGCTCCTCCAAATGAGTGTGACTTTTGCGTTCAAGTAGAGATGATCTGAATCATTTTAAATTATACTAGAATCCGGGTAACACTCAGAGGGTTTGTTTGAATGAAACTAGGCACTGTAAAATTTATAGAAAAAGTGTACAACAAATGTGGGTCGCCAGGACCTGAAGTTTTCGAAGCATGTCACGCTGTTCGCACTTTGAGTTTTGGTTCAATGCATTATTGACGATGGGTTTTGTATGAGTCGCAGTCATTTTTGCAAACCAGAGAAAGTGCTATTGCTGAGCACTTTTTTCGATGGGTAACGCCACCAGTATTCCGCAACTGTCTAAAAGGTAATAGAATGATACAAGCAAAAATGGGGTGCGCCAAACGTATGCCTTGAAATGTGGAGGAAATCTACAAAGAAATGGATAAGTTAGCCTTTTGCATGGCAAAGTTTGAATTAATTTAAAGGTTCTCTTAGAAGTTCAAAATATATCCAAAAATTGAAGTCATGAGCTCACCTTGTCTTGTATTAAATTCCCATACATATCAAATTTGGTAATCTCCACACGATGTAAATTGGCGAGAACGTATAATGGATAACACCAAAAGCAGGCACCCCAAAAAACGTGCGTCCAATTCGGCTAGATAAGTGGGAAACGAAAACAGATTAACATCAAGTAAGCAAATGTGAAAAGCTAAAAAAAGTATAAGTTGTTTGACAGGGCCCGGTAAACTAGATTTGACATACTGAAGGTTCAACATCCCAGGAAGATTCAGTAGTTAGTCTACTACTTTATTAGACGAGGACTTCACTAACCATTTTGATTCCTCTAGATGCGATAGAACTTTATGCAACACGTCAGGAAAGGATGCGATATTCAAATTCACTTGTCAAAAGCACGTCTCTGACGGGAATACCATGCACTTCCACTTCAAGTAAACCCGTTCCTGTATCTAAAATGAAAACAACTGTCAGTGTCCGAAATCCCTCATCCCCGCAGTTCCGCAACAAAGTCCGTCAAAAATCTTATGTCTTCCATGGCATCAAACATCCCAAACAAGTAGCCTCAAAATGAAATTGATTTTCTCAAGAAAGCAGCTTCTTCCTGTACGGAGAATTTATTATGGGCCGCAAGGCACCACTCATCGGACCGGTACGTCCATTTTGCAGCAGTGCGGATAATTAATCCAAATTTTTCGTCAAGATAAGTTGGTGAGATTGTGGCGTGCATTGTCCGCATGCAAACGAGGGATAAAATATTGCGATGAAGTGGCTTTGATTCTTTTTTGGAAGACGAATTTCCTGATGTTCAACGGTATAATCTTGCAGGAAGCAGTGCACCGAGATAAATAGATCATTTACAAGTGCAGCATATTGCAGGAAGTAATTTCTGTAAACGGAGAAATAGAAATTGCGGTTCAATGTTGTTTGTTTATGAGAGTCGTAGACATTTACCCTCCTTTAGCAGTAACAGATTTTGAAGACTAAATTTCATTATACAATGAGCAATTATATCCTGCTAATCCATAGCATGTCGTCTCCCAAAAAAACGTTTTCAGACGAGATTAATGAGTTTCATAGCGACGGTATTTCTATGTGAAGTGGTTAAAAACGTCGAATCTTGCATTGCATTTTATTGACCATTCGGGATTGGCGAAATTTCCATTCGATATTGATTACCATTCATCGTGGTTGAAGTCTGGGTGAAGAGGAACGTGTATTTTTTTGGTGTTATTGTGATATTTTTGGTTTCAGGTGCCTTCACCATGGATATAAAGCCAAACCATACCATTTATATCAATAATCTTAATGAAAAAACGAAAAAGGAAGGTAGGCTGTGCACTTCGATCACTTCTTCCGGATTTAGTTCAAATATGGACATACGTGAGATATATATATAAGATAATTTGTATTTACAATGCGGTGGATTTTTTCAGAGCTGAAAAAGGCCCTTTACGCAATTTTTTCGCAGTTCGGGCAAATTATCGATATAATGGCATTCAAAACATTGAAAATGCGTGGGCAGGTTTGCTTTATTCTTGTTAAGCTTTTAGGAATACTTCATGTGAGATTCCTTATTTGTGTCGTTTACAGTTACACATAGAGCCTAAATTCTATGTTGAAATGCGGATATATTAAGATCTTGTCGTTTACCACCTCTTGTTTGATTATTGTATGAATTTTTATAGGCACATGTGATATTCAAGGAAATAAGTTCAGCAACGAATGCCCTGCGTGCGATGCAAGGCTTCCCGTTTTATGATAAGCCTATGGTGGGTTTGATTTATTTACATTTGGTATACTATGATTTTCTAATTACTGGCCTTAACATTAGTATTTTTCGTGCTTTCGTAACTTCTTGATTTAACAAGAAGCTTTTGTCATGCCCTTTTATACTTGGTGCTATAGTCGATCAAATTTGAGGCACTAATTTGAGAATGCTTAAAATATTTTTTTTTGCAGCGTATACAATTTGCACGAGAAGATTCTGACGTTATTGCGAAAGCGAAAGGTACTTATATAGATCGTCCGAAAAAACACCTTCTTACCAAGCACGCTGCTGGAGAAAAACGAAAAAAGACAAGTCATGTAAAAGAAAGTAAAAAGGTAGAATTTTGTCCTTATTTAATTTGCACTGCTTGTTATGCTCCATTGCACTTAATTTCATTTTAGATGCGTATGGATAAAACCCCTACTGGGAAAACCGAGCTTCCGGAAAAAGCAAATCCACCGAATAAAATCTTGTTCTGCACAAATCTACCTGAGGAGACAACGGAGCAAATGCTTTCCCTTCTTTTTAATCCGTAAGTTTTGGTAATGTTTTTAGGATCCAACTCCCTAATTTTGAAAAAGTGAAGTACTGCAGGGTATTTCTGACTACGGTTGTTTTGATGTTTATTATAGGGAATTTTTTTATTAAGATTATTCTCCAAAAGTTCAACAGCTTTATTAATATTCTCAATTAATGTAAAGGTAGCCTTAGAATTTTTCGCTAGTATATGCAGGATCTGTTGAAATGCAGCATTTGAAAGAATTTTTCCGCCTTGTTTTTACAGTTATCCTGGTCTGAAGGACATCAGGCGTATTCCGAATAGGCCAGACATTGCATTCGTTGAATTCGAGACAGAAGCTGAAGCAACGTCAGCTCGTGCCGGTTTAAACAATTTTAAGATAACACCTTCACAGTCGATGTATGTCAACTATGCCAACAAGTGATTTTCCTAATTGCTTTTTTTGTTTTTGTTGATCTCTGGGGTATCCTTAATATGCTCTATATGCGATTATTTTCATTACCACAGTGATGTGCCGTTCAAGTATGTTCAGTTTCTCCTTCTTTAGTGGCATAATTTGGCATAATTTTTATACAATTTTATGAACCACTAATCGATTTTATACTGTTTTATAGACCTCTGATAAATTTCCTACTGTTTTATAAATCATTATCAATTTCATTACTGCTTTGTAAACTATTTATCAGTTCTGTGCTGTTTTATGAATTATTTATAAAATAAAATTTTACAGAAATTATTAATGTTTGTTTCTCATTTCGATTGTCACTGAAATGGCAAGGCATCTGTATCTTTGACGATTGTTGGTATTTTCAACAAAATTTTTTCTGAATAGTTCTTTTATTAATGTGCTACTTAACTAGATAAACCGTGCCGGGATCTGAAGATTTCAAGTTTTTATGTTTATGTAGCATGAAATCATCATTTTGTAAAAATGTAAGATAATAACGTGGGGTAGCGAAAGATTTAATCAGGGTAAAACCTCACTCTCATAGGGGTCGATAAGTTTTATTGAGATATGTGTCTCGCGGTGTAGTATTGTTGTGGCTCATACGCTGTTGAAATGGTATGAGCCTAATTTTTCTATTGGTGGTTGATTTATAAGCAGTCATCTTTTTGTCTTGGTTTTTCAGTGTTACTGAAAAGTTGTTAGTCGAATAGCGCTTTGAAAAAGAGCTTGGGTGCGTGACCTTAGCTTTTTCGATGATGTATTTATTTCGATTAAAACCGGCTGTTTCCTCACGTAATTTTTGGTGAGTATTTACTTTTCAGTTTCTCGATAACTGCTATTTATTTCAAACTTTAAATTGGGTGTGCAGGCCGTATTCAAGCCATCAAAATGGCAGCTTGTTTCTATTTCCAGTAAAGTCAAGAAAAGATGCACCGAAGCATTGGAATGTTGGAGATGTCGTAAAGCTATTGGGTGTTTGAAGGTACTTTTACATTCTTTAAAAAGATAATATGTGGTATAAGATGATAGACCTGACCAATCGAAGATATTCTCAATGGCTGGAGGAATTTAACTTGCCGATGATAGTTTTTCATTCACTTACTTTATCCGCGGTTTATATTGACCGATTTCTTTTTTTTTATTGTCTCAGCCTTAGAAAAGCGATATTGGCAGTTAAGTAAATCAGAGACCAAATCCTTTATCTTCGCTAATTTCTTATCTGCTTGGATGAAATTCCTTTTCGATTCGCTCTTGTCATACATTTCTCAAACCTCATTATTTAGATACGCAGAATGAGAAGAATCAAAATTGGTTGAGCTAAAGAATTTTGTAAAGATTTAATGTAATAACTCGTCGATGTCTTTTTATATATTGCGGAGATTGTTACAGGAAAAGTTGTTCTGTCCAATGTGTGCAGCCATCCAACCAGTTGAAGGGAGAAATTATTTTGATTATTTGGGTGTAGTTCCTGGATTTGATGTTGATCTTTCATTGTTGAAGATGAATTTCCTCAAACTACAGTCAGTTGTTCATCCCGACAAATTCTCAAGATGTTCTCCAGTAACATTTTTAAGGCATACTTCATAAGAAACATTGTTGTTTTTATGCATTTTTGAAAATTGTGCATTTCGACGAGAAGGCTCAGAAGGCTTAAGAAAACCTGATCAGATAATCATTTTAACAAAAGGTAAGCTTTGCATAAATGGAAAAAACTCATTTCTATCATCTTCATAAAGGCTAAAAAGTTGTTTTTTCGTGAAGATGAGATAATTATTCGATCCTTTGATACTATTCTCAGCTTACCTTTTGTTAAAATGATTATCTGATCAGGTTTTCTTAAGCCTTCTGAGGATTCATATCAATTTCATGGAAATTTTTTTTGCATTTTTTCACTTCTAATTCCCTCCGATTCGAAAATCATAAGTTAAATTATGTTCATGCACTTCATTTACTATTTTGCAGGAAGAGAAAGAAATATCGGAAAATTGTTCACGATATCTCAATGAAGCGTACAAAACATTGACCGAACCATTAGAGAGGGCGAAATATCTGCTCACATTGAAAGGGGCGCCACAGAATGATGAACGTAATTTTTCTTATTTATTCTAATTTATTGATTATTGATTACTACGGGCTTCAATCTCCAGTTTATAAGATTAATCGTATAATAATTTCCAAGGTCTTAGAGCAGCACATTATCTAGTTGGTTCCAGAAAGACTTTAGGAGGTTTAATTTTATTTTCTTCATAAACAGTAGATTTGGTAATCAGTAACTGTTTCTAGATGTAATGGGCGGCACGGATTTCTTGGCAGAAATGATGGAACTGAATGAATTGATGGTGACGAATAATGATCCGAAAGAGCTGAAAATATTATTGTATGAAGTGGAAACTAAGATCCAGATGTTAGGAAGGGAATTCAAGAATAGCATAGAAACAAATCAGCTTGGAAAAGCGAAGAAAGCCGTATTCAAATTAACATTTTATTATCGTTTGAAGCACGGTTTATCAAACAAAATAATAGATATTGAATAAATCTTTGCTTTCCAGTTGTTTTGCTCAGAATCAAAAGTGAAAAGGTTATTGGTGTAAAGTATGCAGAATTTTTTTTTCCTGAGATCACGAACTTCGTAGTGATGAAGGGTCAGAGGATAACTCTCGTGCTTTTTGATATTATGAACATGTGCGATTCATTACACCCGGCATAAAACATTTACTTTTGCAATGTTGCAGTGAATTAAAAATGAAACAAGTGCGAGGAGTATCTGATTACTGAAAAGGTTCCCTCTTTTATTTCTTCCTCCTAGTCTGCATTATACATTGCATGTTTTAGCTATAAAAACGGCTAGAGGAAGCCGAAAGGAAAATGAACTTGATCACGAGGGATGAGATCAAAATATAATGTTAGAAGTCCAACATACCCCACGCATTTAACCTCTTCAGTTGCTTACAGGTTGGTCATCTTGTCTGCCAGCTAGTTTATGTGAAGTGCAGAATGCTACCAGCTGATGCATTGTGTACACTATCACTGATATGCCTTATGCCTTACAACGTTTATAAATTATCAGAAAGAAATTTGGCAAAACGCTTTGTATGTGAAAAATGTTCAGGAGCACTCTGCATTTCAAATACATCATTTTTGTCGACTGCATTTATTCAAAAGTCGGTGTTTATATGGTCGGTCGCGTCCACGGGTATTATTCCCTCAGTACATAGATAGTATACACAGAAATTAGGATATAATCTACCGATAAGACTGCCTATATGATTTGCCAGAAAAATCTAAGCAGAGGGGGATTACAAAAGTGTGCAAGAACAGCACCGACATTCAGTAGGCTTTCGAGGATTTTCGTGACTGAATACAGCACTCTCGTCATCCATTCGCTTTACTTCTAACATCAATCCTCTTTATCTATCTCTGCGCCTATTACAGCGAGCTGTCCTCATTCCCATCCATACTCTTTCTCATTAGTCGTTGATCAGTCCGCTTATGTGCGAGTGACAGAGCGGAAGAGAGACAGCGTCTTTTGGACAATCGATTGAAAGCTGAGCGCACCTCCCCTCGCAGTCATTCACCATGTTTGGGCCCCGCGTGTGGTGGTGGTTTCATCATTTGGTCTAGTTGGTGGGCGCCAGTCTTCGCTTCTCCGTAGTCGCTGTTCTGTTGTATTTCTTATTGGTTCAGAGCAGTAGGAAGGTTGGCTTGGGATAGCGAATATATTCCTGAGGTACCTGTGCTAGGTTTTTTTTTTGGATCCTTGCATTTTTTTCCATCTAATTTGCAGCAGCACGTGTTTTGCATGTTTTGTGCCTATGATCACTTTTCCGTTTAAAAGTTTTTCCTTCTAGTTCTCGGGTCGTTTTTGTCTCTCGTCAAGGTCTCACGTTCGGTTCTGGAGAAGATCATGTCTCGATCAGTATTTGGTCAGTTTTATTTCGCAAATTGAATCTTGAGTGAGAAAATTTAGAAGTTCTATGGAAGAAATTTTGTTGGGCTCTATCAGTTTGTAGCTGGTGGGGCTAGTGGAGCTACACATTCTAGCTATACCATAACTAAAATGATATGAGTAGGAAACAATTCATAAAGGGTATGAATAGATAATTGACACGAAGTATTTAAAGGACATGAAACTGCCGGAGTATGTTGAGGGAGTGTTTTTAAACTTCGTTAACAAAAGTAGAAAGTTTAACAGGGAGGGCTTTTGTTCAAATATATCGTTTTCCACGCATTTCCTTGTCTCCGATATGTCCATAAGGAGTATGGATTGAGAAATTCAGACTTTTAATTTACATGATTGATAAGAATTAAACTGCTTGTACCGTAGACCTTAGGCTTTCGTAGCGAAATTTTCTTAGTGGCCCAGTTGAAAGACATAAACACCGAGGAATTACATTTTGTCGGCTGCACTTGCCACTTTTTGACGGCGTCACGAAGCCTTTGAATTACTGCTTTTCAGTTGGAAACTTGCCTTATAGTGCAAGAGAGGAGGATGTGGCGAATTTCTTTTGGCAAGTTGGTCCGGTAACCAGCGTGCGCATCGTGTTGGATCGGGATACGGGACGTCCGCGAGGTTTCGGTTTCTGCGAATTTGAAACGGAAGCAGCGGCGGAGCAGGCTGTTGGAAGTATGAACCATGCGGAATTTATGGGACGTCAGCTTCGTGTTGACCGTGCTATTTCGCGATAAGTGGTTACAGCGTGCTTTAGACGTATACCCAATTGTGTTGTTGTGATCCGTCTCAAAAGTTCTTTTGCGACCCGATTACTCATACATTGGTGTAATTACAGTGTTGACGTATTTCGTGGCAATTTATCTTTGCCACATTTTGCTCTCTCTTCAGTACAAGTGTGACTTCTCTGTTTTGACTCGTATTTTTCAGAAATAAAGTCTACATTTTAAAGCGCATAGCGAATAATGATTTTATGAAACTAAATCGCAGCAGTTTGGTGACGTTAGTTAATTACTATTACTACCACCAAGATGCGATGGAACTCAACTTGCACGATCTGCACGCATGGCGACGCCACATCGATATTCAGTAGTGACCTTTCGTGCAGCGGAAGGGTCGGTTTTGCATCAGTGGTTGACCTACTTTTGTTTGGTGATGGTTTAATAGTTAAGCGCAGATCGCTGAAGCCGGGCGGAACAGTAGAAACCTTTGTATTTGGACAAAGCATGTGCTGTTTGATACGAGGAGGTTCATCACCGCGCCACCTTGTTTATCATGTTGGTACTCTTTCGCTTGTTCCGTGTGTATACAATAGAAAAGCTCGAGGTATTCTAATGCTACTTTTTTCGGATGGTCGAGGATTGGGTAAATCTACTTCCGTTTCAAACAGAACAGTCTAGGAGGGTCTCATAATTTTAGCGCATAAAGATAACGGATATCACTTGAGGGATCTATTTGGAAGTAGGTAGTGTTTGTTTCCTTTCCTTGAATAATTGGTTAGACTAGATGGCGCGTCATAGTATTGTTTGGGACGAAACTAGCGTGTGTTGAACAATTATAACATGACTGTCGGTAGCAGCGGTCTCTATCACCAGTGGAACTTTCTCACAATTTTCAGCATCCCTTCATAATTCCCCTGCTCTTCCTAGGCTCGAAATAGCGGAATTCAGATTCATACGCAGGTCATTTACCTTTTCCTTCGGCAGCTAACAATGGTCCCTAACTTCCAAAGACATTTACGACCTAATACCCTTTCGTTCAAAGAAAACTCATAGACAAGATGATAGCGTCTCTTGAGACTTTTCCAGCAAAGTTTATTGCTCGAATATTGTGGAACTCATAATCACTTCATTTAATTGGTAGAACTGCTTTTCGTCATTGCTATGGTAACAGGAAAAACTACAGGTAACAGGAAAAAATATCTGCAATTTGGTCGGATTAGACATTAATCACATGTTCGTTGGCTTTCTGCTCAAATAATTTTCTAATGAATTCTTGGGTATCTTATTTGGCGCACTTCTCTTCACCAGTTTTTTCTTTGGCATCTTATCTTCTTGACTTCTACGTTTCACGGTCGCTTTGTTGGTATTTTGAGCATCCTGCAGTTCATTTATCGCCTGTCTGAAAAGAGAATATTTACGTAAAAGTAGTTAATGCTTGAGACTAAAGTTATACAAGCTCCAAAACGGAGGAAAGAATCTAACGCTTCTTTCGCTACATTAAATTATATATTTTTCTTTAATCACCACTATAAAAATGCCGGCATAAAATGCAGAAGTATTTAAAAGCTTTTCATATCAATTTCTGAACCTATTTAAACATTCGTCGATATGATGATTCACCAAACCGAGCTCTCTCGGCAGTGCGACTTCGCAAATTGGGCAAGACTGTGGTTCATCCAAATGAACCACTTTTGTGGAAGCACCATCTAATCCGCCAGTACCGTCGAATTTTAAAGCTGAGAGTAAAGGGCCATGATTTGTTGCATCATTAAAATATTCCATTGCTGTAGATTCCGTTTCTTTTCGATTCCAGAATGAGCATAGAGAGTTTGCCGACTCAGCCTGGTAAAATGTAACATGATAAAGTGGAAAAATAATCCAAAAACAGTTATAAATACAAAAATTTGAGAATATACCTTCTCGTTTTCGAAGACTAGACGCGCTAACCGCACACCAAGCAGTCGCAAATATTTGTTACTGTCATTGTGCATTTCTCGACGTACAAACTTTGAACATAAAGCAAACAAGTGGTCTACATCAGAAATCATGTAATCCACGCTGAAAACCACACAGTTAAGAATTTTATAATAGCTTCAAAGATCTAAGTAGCGCAGTATAAAAGTTTTCACCTACTCTTTAAGGAATAATTGGAATCATTCATGAAGGTATGATGGTAAAGAGAAAGGATATGATACAAGTTATATAGTACCTGCAGCATCTTGTAATTACATCAAACGTCGAGAACTTCATTTTCACAGTAACTGTGCGTCCTCCTCGAATTCTGTGATCGGGTAAAGAATCAATAAGTTCGTTGCAGAGATTCTCCAACGTCTGTAACATATAAAAGTGAAGTTTTCAAATCTTAAACCTGAACAGTAGTATGGAATACTTAGATCCTACCACTTTCCTCTAAACATAAGGTTTATAAGTTTCATAAACTTTAACTATGATTTAAAAAAATATCTGGAAAGCATTTCCTCAAGAAGAGCTCCAAGGTCTCCTGTAGGATGGAATGTTCTTTCTGTACTGATACTTTTCTGTCTTGTTTTTCGATCAGCACTGAACACATGAAATATGCCAAGAGCAACTCGCAAAAAATATTCGTAACTGAGTTGTGTGAAAAGCAAACCGATTACTCCACGCCACTCATATAAATCACCACACTTTTCTAAACCTATTCCTTTTAGAACTGCTTCCGTTACAGGCCCAATCCCGCTTATCTGAAACATTGAACTGGCTCTGTTTATATCGAAATGGTTTTTAGAAGCAACAGAAAATAAAATAACAAGCAAAGTTTTACTATTAAATTCAATAGATGTATAAAATTACCTTACGTATTGGGAGATCTTTCAAGAAAGTTAAAACAGCTTCTTTATCATTTAACAGACGATATTGTCCGTTCGGTTTATTGATATCCGAACATACCTTGGCTAACAGGGAATTTGGTGCGATTCCTACAATATTTGGCTCACATGAAAAGACATGATAAAGAAAATGTGTCTTATTCCCTTTTAATATAATTCTAATATAATCAGCGTTGAAATTCCGAATGAGAGCAATAATATACAAACATGTAAACACAAGACTTCGGTTATGTCCAAGTTATCAGTTAGTAGCTCTTTCCTCATCAACTCATTAAGCTTAAGTCCCTGTTTTCTTATGATATATCTGATGCTTAAAATATACTTCCGCCTCCGTGCCTTGTGTTCACTTTCTTCTAACAAATTAATGAGCTTAAAGATTACAAGTGAGAGATAACCACTAACTGTACCTGCACTGCAAGTTAAACCCACTGCTTGTTCCACTCTGAATCGCATTTCACGGACAACCTGCAAGATTGTTTCGACCAGCAAACATATCTTCGAATGTTATTAAAAAATTCTTTGTATCAACAGAAAAGAAAATTGTGAAACAGTACTTCATCAACATTTACTCCGAAAGTGATGCGATCTCGTACACATTTGCGTAATTTTTTACATTTTGTGCATATCTCTTCAGTAATTTCAGCATTGTCCAGGTGACATATCTCATTTTCCGCAACCAAAGGCAGTTGGCAAATGCACTCACCCATATATCGAATTCGTTCGTGCTCGGCTGCAAAATGTATCTTTAAAATAAATAGAGGAAAATCATCAACAGTACAGCAACCAACTGTGTACCTGAGCCAGTGCGAAATCGATTTTGGAGGTAGGCGGTTAAATCGATATATGCTTCATCCAAGCCATCTGCATAAAAATCAGGATCATAGTCTCTAAATATTTTTCTAACCTGAAAATTAAATGTTGGAAGCTTATGATTTTTTTCATCAAAACATTTTATTTCTCTATATTTAATCTTTTCCAGTGGTTCCAAAATACCAACCATTAAACTTGCTTCTCGATATTTGTCAAAACAACCAGGAACGATTTTCAGTTGGGGGCATAACTTCTTTGCAATGAAACCAGGCATAGCAGAACGTACACCAAAACGACGAGCTGCATAATTTGATGTACTCTGAAAAAAAGATAGAACTAGCAATTATAAACCTCATACAATAGGGTTCTCAAAATGCCTATTAAATTCTAATTTCTGTTCGGAAATGATGTAGCGTAAGATGTTAAACTCCACATTTCAATATGCTATACTATATAAGAAATTGCTGCAACTAGTACGACTAAAAAGAAGCACAATGCATTTCAGAAGTAAGCAGAAGAGCTATCCATAAGAATTACACCTGTACAAAAACTGCTAACTATACTAAAGGAAAAACCAATTAAATAATCAGAAAAACATTTCATAACAAAGGCAAACAACTCCTACATCTATTCTATAACAGAATTATAGTGTAATACAAGTTGCTTCAATAAAAATATGAATATAGAATATATTGCGAACATATACATAAATTTATAAAAGAATAATACACATACAAGCATTGAATTCGAACCAACGGCCATTGGAATGCTGCGCAGTGAAGGATCATCTCTCATTTCAACAGCTGCGTAAAATGCATCCATATCAACATGAACAGCGTAATGAGAAAGATCACGTTCTTTTTCCAATACACCCACCAAAACATCCATCTAAATTGTGCAGTCTACAATGCATCTCAAAGAATGATCCATTCAAACTCCAGCATACTCACAGGTATGCAGAACATGAGAGAATATGATGAATTGTAACGATGATCAAAACCAACTTCAGCTTGAGCCTGGAGAATCTGATGTGGAGTAAATTTAGCCATTATGTTACTATAACGTTTTATTCTGGCATCGATTCTCTCTTTCTTTCTCTTCGCATGTTCCTCAAAATCTGAGCTGGTATTCTCATTGATTATTTTCTGGATATGTTCCTAGAAAATTCTTACTTAGAATCCTCCTTTTAAACAAAGGTAAACATAATCATTAAACGATTCAACGAAGAACTTCAGAATAAATGCTACTTATTCAAAAACTTTCTACCTTCTAATTTTGCTCTACATATGGGAGCAGCTACTGTGGAATAATGTAGGAAGCAAGCGAAATTTTTATTTTTAGCACCACATGTAAAACCTACTGCATAGTAGCGGCTAGGAATATTGATTAAGTTATAACAAGTGAACTATGCAACAGCAAGTAAACTGAATGAGTGTTTGATATCTGATATTGTCCTTTCCAGACAATCACTATGCACTGAATAAAAGGTCCAGTTGCGCATCATCACGAGATGCGCTGCTTGAGTTATATTAATTCTTACGAAAAAAGAGAAACCTTGTCAACGCCAGTCATACCAGTCTTGCTGTCACTAAAGGTCAGCATACTTCATTCGTTGCTATATCCTTGATAGTCGATTATATGGTGCTTATCTACATATCATCGAATTTTTTCCCACAAAACACTGAAAAATAATTGATGTAACAGATACTTCTGAAATACGTAATATTTGCACTTGATTTTCAGAATTTCAAATTATGCATGTACTTCAGCTCATAACATACAATCAATAACCAAAATATCTTGCAACCTAAGAACGATACGTTCATGTGGTTACTTTTACAATGTACAGATAAACAAACTCCACGTCCAAGGATTCTCGACTCTTCACCCTTCTTCATGAAAGAAATTAAAGTGTGAGCGCCACCTCTCTGACTACTTAATTGTCTTCCCATTAAAGAGTCTATTTGTTAAGATTGAGAGATAGAGATTATGCGATTGAATGGGTGACAGAAATCGATAAGAGTTGCGGAAAGTATTAGCTTAAAAAAGTAAAAGATGGAGTGGTGATGACATTGGGAGAGGTTGTGGTAATGGAGTACAGTGGGAAGATTCGCGGTAATGAAGTACCGAATACTTTCTGAGATGTCCGAAATCATCAATGGCAAGGAAAAGTTCTGGGGGTCACTCCCACTCACTTTTCAACTTCTAAAATGTTGCCTAAATTAATTAAATAAGTCTGAAACTTATCTACTTGGACTATTTTGCTGCTTTCTGCCTGAAAAAGTCAGTCAAACTGTTAAGCCATGAGGTAAAAGTAGAATTTCGATTCTATTGCAGGACACTTGCTCTAATAGATGAAAATTGTCAAAAACTGCGCGGACTTATCGTTGCATGTGCTTACTAATAATCAGATTTCTATTTTTATGATTGTGATAAAATGGATCAGTAATTTTTCTGAATCATCCAAAAAATTTCTTGAAGGAGCATATAGTTATTTCGCTGCAGTAGACCATAGGTATTTCGGCTCTAGTTCACACACCGTTCAGTATTTAGAAAGTCGCAATAACATTATGCATTTAGAAAGGAAGTTTTTCATCAACGGTGCCAAGCTAACATGTAATGTACCAACGTTGTGGGTTGGAATATGGTCACTTATATCGGAGATTGTGAGAAAGAGAGATGATGATAGGATAGAGTTCTGCTATGGCAAATAAAGATGTCTAAGGAAGGACTGATATTGCATGGTATAATCACGACGTATTTCTTGACTGTGCATTCCTAACTTGTAAAACAGATGTTACAGGAAGAAAGCAAGTAAATCGAGCAAAATGATTCGTTCAATACTAGTGAGTTTTGTAGTTGATGTATTGGTTTGCTCTTTTTATTTATTTTCTACAATCTTTTAAGCAATCTAAACTGCTTGTATGATTTTAACTGGTTTTTAGGCAGCGGCATCTCCACTCCGTCAAAGGTCTGTATCTCGGCTTTGCACCTCCTCTATTACGTTATCTGGCGTCCGTCCCTTGGGTCCAAAAAACAAAGCACCTGATTTTTCTGTACGTTTCTTGTCTTTGCAGATTCATTTTTATCACTTTGGTTGTGGTTAGTATTTCGAGACTAAAAGAACAATCCTTTTGTGCGCAACCATTTTTCAATTACGTTCACTTTTTTCAGGGTACAGCAGTTGTAAATGGCGACTTTAAAACAATTGGCATGAAAGATTACAAAGGAAAATGGCTTATCATATTTTTTTATCCTCTTGATTTGTTAGTTAACCTTCTTTCTGTCCTTTTTTCAGGATTTCTTATTTTTCATGATGATTTTCCAGATCCAGACTTCTATTACAGCCAATGCGGTGACACAGTACCATTGTTTCCGCGTATGGCGCGATGATCCATCCTTGGTTTAACTTATAGTGCGCGAAAACTTTTTTTCCATAGATAAATTGATCAAGCAATAAATTTGTTAATTCATTGATTCTTAAATTTAATCTTGAAATTAATACTGCTTTCAGCACATTCGTTTGTCCAACCGAGATTACTGCCTTCAACGACCGATGTGAGGAATTTCAGAAATTAAACGCAGAATTGATTGCCTGTTCGTGCGACTCCCACTTCTCACACCTAGCTTGGATACAAACTCCACGTAGTGAAGGTGGTCTCGGTGATATGCAGGTTCACTTTTTTCGTACTCATTCTTTACAATTTTTGGTAACATGGCCAATTTTCATTTCAGTAAATAGTCTCAAATGAGTTAGAAAGTTTCGTTGCAGATTCCAGTGCTTGCAGACTTTAATAAAGATATAGCGAATGCATTCGGTGTGCTTGATCATGAAACAGGTATTTCATATCGGTAAGATGTCCTATTCCGACATTTTGTTTTGGATATTATAAATTTGTAACTATGCTGTTCCTTAAGCAAAATCAACTATGTTTCTTTTGTCATTAAATCTTAACATTCTTTTTCTTTTTCCAGAGGTTTGTTCTTAATTGATCCAAATGGTGAAATTCGTCATTCTCTGGTAAATGACCTTCCGGTTGGCCGTAGTGTGGATGAAGCGTTTCGTACTCTGAAAGCCTTTCAGTTTGTGGAAAAACATGGTGAAGTATGTCCAGCAAATTGGTCTGATGATAAACCAACAATTAAGCCCGGTGTCGAGGAGTCCAAAGAGTACTTCAAAAAGGTCGGCGGTCATACATAAAAGATCTGATAGCACCGAAAATGTATTCTTATTTAAGCGATTTGGAATTTTGTTGAAACCTTTTTTTCTATTTATGTGAAATTTATGATTCAGTTGCTTCTTGTAGTGGTATTTGTGTGATTTATGATAAATCATAAATATCTGAAAAAAAAACTAATATTAGTCAAGTCGTAGAATTCAACTTACTCGAGCACACACAGTTGTATTAGGCTGGAGATTGTGGAAACATATTTTTCGATGGATAATCTGGTCCCAAAATGAGTCATCTACATTTTGCGTATGCTCCAATGGTATGTGATTAAAAATTTATAGGAATATATTATGAAGTGAAATACAGGAAACTTCGCGCAAGGTGGTTGGGCAGGAAAAATGGCGTTGAGTTTCAAAATTGAATTGTTGGCTTTCTATCCATTTGGCGGCAGTGAAGTGATTGTGTTTAACATGATAATCCCAGAAAAATCAGTGGGAGGAAGTTTTGTTTCTCGGATCAAAAGAGGGACGAAAAAAGGAAAAAGTTTCAGGCTGAAAGTTTCTTTGCAGGGATATTTCTAATGATTGTAAACCGCTGGATATATTCTCCAAACATGTTAAACAAAAAATGATTAATAGCATTTCTATATTAGACTTAGTTATGCGTTTAAGGCAAAGATTTAGGAGTTTTTACGGCATCAGGAGTTGTCCGTAACTGAAGTCTAAGGTAGGAATATTATAATACCTGTATGTTTTAGTACATTTATAAAATGGTGCAGTTGTTTCAAATCGAGCAAGAAAACGAAGAACAGTTCCGTTTCCTGTCTTTCGTTCTCTTGCTCGATCTGAAATCATCTACTCCGCGATTTGTTGTGTCACAAGCTAATGAACTGCGAACTTTGGAAAAGAAAGTGAATGCCGTCTTAGGCATAGTTTCCGTGTAGTTATATCCGCGTATGATAAAATTGCCCTCAAAAGCAAGTAACATAGTCCTGGAGTAGTTTTTTTGACAATACTGATATAAAGCATAACAATGTGATGTATCTCAATCATTGCTGTTTTCTGATAGCTCAAACAACGAAACATATAAGAAAAATTCAATGTATGTTGTTGAGATTCGATTTTTTTGAACCAATCAAGTATGGATTTCGTATAATGGTTTGATATACAGATCCGTTCTCGTTTCGGATGATATAGATCGAAAGTTTTTAAGAATGACGTCTCTTTTGCTTCTTTCTAATTCAGATAATTTCGTAGAGACTGACAATAACTGTCTTTAAAAGCATATTCGAAAGTATCATTTTACAATCTAAATTATAAAATATCGGATTATACTATATATTTTCAGGATATACTTATATATTTTTCCACTAATTCTAATATAGCGACGAAGAATGGTGTACACATGAAATGTTGTGTCCAATTAGCCAATATATCTCTTTTGCATTTGGTGGGTCAAGTTTTAAAACACCTGCTTGTGTTAAATAAATAAGCGCACTGTCCTCTGTTTCGTGATGAAGTCTGCCTATTATATGTTTGGAAAAATAAAGCCAAAGGCATTTGAACCTTATGATTTTCCCGAATTCAGAATGGACAATGTTTACATGTTGACCCTGTTCTGAAATGTGAGTTTTAGAAATTCTGAAACTTAGAAATTCGTCAGAATTTCTAAAACCTGTTTTCTTGTTTTCTTACGAGAGGTGTTTTCTTACGATACCTAAATGATTTACTAACATAAATGGTGAAATCTTGATAAGTGCTGTAACTATTTCACATATAACACTTCGGGTGCATCACAAAGAACAATATGCATAGTTCTTATTATGCAGAACTTTCAGCACATAATAATTCGCGAAATTGAACTCATCGCGGACAGACAAAATTTTGTAATCTTTATGAGCAACGAATATGATCAGATTTCGTTTTCCTCGCATGTTCCAAGAATAGGCGTCGTTGATGACCTGAAAACTGATAAAGTCGTAACAAATTGAATTGTACGTTTGGTTTCATATAAGAAGAAATGTAATCACTGACAAACTGTAAATAGCAATAACATCGATAAGACACTAATGAAGTTTAAGAATAAATTTGGTCAAATCTTATTATTTAACTTTTCATAAATAATAGTTTATAAAAAGTCGAAAATTTTAAAGTGTGTTCAAGTAAAAGTGAAAGTGAAAAATATAAGCTAATACTTTATAACTACAACTTGGAAATGTATTTCAGAGACATTACATAAGAACACACTGATTATGAACATGAAAAGCGTGTTCTTTATATAAGAATATATTCTTTATATAAGAACACGCTTATTATGTTCATAATCAGTAGAATGGATATCACAATTAGTCAAAATCAACATTCATTTCAGTCTTCTGTTATTCATTTTCAGTATTCATCTCCGAAAGTAATTCTCTGAAAGAAAGTGTACCAATGTTGCGCATCATTCCATTAATTCTTGTTTTTCTTCAGAAAAATTCTATCCAAACGACAAATTTGGATACAAAACTTGAACATGAAATTTGATTTGTCATGCGAACACTATTCTAATGAGAGAAAGACGCAAATTTTTTTTTTGAATACTCTGGAAACGCACTTTCGTACTGTTTATCAGTTGAATTTAGTCCAATCAGAATGTTTGAATATTAAAAGAGAAGTAATGCGACTATATACAGAGAAATGAGAGTTGAGAGCAATTTGGGGAAAGATGCAAAGTGTCAATTCTCCTCAAACTATCCACTTGTATCTTCCAAATAATTAAATCAACAGTTGAACTAATCGTATTTAGTTAGTACAACTTTTCAGCTAAGCCCGCTCGAGATTCTTTCAAACATATCTCCACATTTGAACTCTCGCAAGCTGCTATCCTCCCACAATATTCTGTGCACCATTTGCCACTCTCATTCAAATTATTTGCACTTAGTTATTATCATTGCGTAAGTTACGCTCAAACTTGTTAACCTAAAAACATATATATATATATACATATAATGTACAGGACCGTAATGTTTTGATTTTTTTTAATTCCGTGTTCTCATAAAATGATAAGATTATTTCAGGCTAAAATTTTTACAAAGGTGGTAAGATGTATTTTTGCCTTCCTTAAAATTTCAGAAACATGAAATAATTCGAAGCAACTCAGTCAATTCAAAGCTACCGAAATCAAGCATTAATTGGAGTCGCCCGTTTCTTCTTGTTTAAAAAGATAATCGAATCAGGCCATAAAAATGTACTCCATCAGAAAGTCAGTCCAACTTCTCAATACATTTTCATCAATGTCATGGAAATTTGTAACCAATTTTTAGTCTATACTTGTTTGCACCCATTTATAAGAGCAACGCGTGACCAACAAAATATGTCCGATGACCATCAAAATTAGATCAAGAATGAGGATTCATTGGTAAATGTGCTGAAGTTTTTACATGTACCTTATTGATTTGTACAGTCTTTATTGATAAAGGTTCGACTACATACAAAACGAAAGCAAAGCAGTGGTAATCCAAACTGCTGGAAAATTTACAAAGGCTGAAACAATAATTTACAAAACCAATTACATATGTGAAACAGAGAAAAAATCAAGAAAACAGAATGTTAGAAAGAGCCAAACCTAAGTTCAAAAAGAACTGAGGACAGCTAAACTAGTCGTTAAAATTAAATAATTTTCGTGCAGAATATAATTTCTGGGATTTGTCCATCTTCGACGGATGTGCCATTATTATTACCGGCAGCATAAGTAAACTGAAAGGTTATGACTCCAGTTGAGGGGGACTGATGAACAATACGCCGCAAACCTTTGGTACCATAGTGAGAATCAGGACCCTGAAAGTTTTCATATAATATCTCTGAGAAATTTTAAAAGTGTTGGGTCAAAATTATGAGAGAAATCTCATAGTTTTAAAAAAGTAACAAAAGTTAATGAATCTAGTAAAGTGTTGGGGAATCAGTATTTTGTAGAAGAGAAGTTCCGGTAAACGCCTTACTTTCAAACGTGCAGAAGCGATATAAGTAACACAAGGGCTGATTTCCACAGGTTCCCTGAATAACACTCGAAATGTGCCGCATGATCCATCACAGGAAAATGACGTATCATTACTTGCCAAAATTTTTCCCGTGCCACAATGAAGAATCTTGAATTACAGCGGCGAGAGTACAGTTTATGTGTATAATCACGGGAAATAAATCACTCTAAACTACTGTTTAATCATTGAAAAGCAAATAAAAAAACCTACCTGAATAGTAACTTGGTATTCATGAGGGCCATGAATTGATCCATGCAAACCGAAGCCAATAACATAGATCCTTCTATCAACAGTAAACCTAAAATTCTGGCAAATATTTCTTTATATGTAAACATATATTAATGATGTTTTTTTTTTTTTTTGAATTATGGAGGATCTATTTTGTGAATGTTATGAATTCACATGAATTTTATAATTTCATTATGTGAATTTTATAAGTGCGATATAAGTGCGATTTTTTGTCCTTCTGATTTCTATACGAGAACTTAACTATTTCTGGCTTTATTCTCAAAGAATATAATGCAGAAATGTTGGGAAGATGACTGATTTATTTTAAATCTCATTCATATACATTCTAGAGCTTCTTCGCATCCAAAATCTTCTATATGAAGTAAATATGAAGTAAAGGTGTGTGACAAAAAAAATTTTGAGTGGCTCAAGGAAAGTATGCTTTCAAGTTTTTACAAAAATTTTTGAAAATGCATATAGAACAGAATGACAGCAAAAGTATATAAAAAAGCGAAATCTTGGAAGATACCACTTATCAAAGATTTAGATTTAGCACTTATATGTATCTGAAAAAAAACTAAGACTAAGAAAAAAAAAAACAAAGAAAAATGGAACTTACTTAATACGATCTGGTGTACCGCTATATCCCCAGCGCCCTTCGACGCGTTGGAAACGACTAACTACTACTTCCTTACCAAACACACAACAGCGTGGAACATCCAGAAATTCAATCTGTGGTTTAGGATTCACCGTAAAATACAGAAAAAGACTGACCAATTCACGATCGGTTAGTATACCTGTCTGAGCTGAAAAATTTTTCGTCATAAATTTCATGCAGCAAAAATTTTTCATGCCAAATTAACAAAAATTTTTAAACTTCCGTTTCTTTTAGCTTCAAGATGGATATGTTTACCAGCATGCTGGGCAAATTCGTCAATTGTCATCAGAGGAAAGCGTATCATATGTAAAGCTCTGCCAAGCACTGTTCGTTGATTCTCTGCATTGACGGTCAAGGTCCGACGGCGACACTCTTCCACACTCCACCGAAGTACTGCGAGAAACAATGGCACTTCACGAACTCGCAAAGTGTTTCGTTTCAAAACTACACAAAGTGTGTCCAAATCAATTTCCGTGAAACCTAAAAGATTAAGTTTGCATTCAACACAAATTGCTACTGAAAAGAAAAGCGTACTAATGGTAAAGAACAAATGATTTACCTTCTGCATTCAAAGCTTCAATCGTATTTCTGTCAATTATATCTAAACAAAGGGCAGCTAACTGCGGCTCATCAAACAATCGAGCCTGAGTTAGCAACATGAAAGCGTTGTCAGCACCAAGATTTCGTTTCAAAAAATCAACACAAGCGAGCTCCATAGCTGGCACCGCATACTTTTTGGCTAGAAAAAATGCAGAATAAAGAAATATGGCTGAAAAAATATGGAACAGAAATATTAACTTAACTGCAAAAATCGAGAAGAGACTTGCCCAGTTCATTAACTTCTACAGGTTTTGCAAAAACACATTAAAAATTTCCACTGTTTAGAAAAATATGTTATACGGTAGCCGGTGCTGCTCATAATGAACACAAAAAAACATTCAACGAAGTTTCACGGAATGCACACCTGTATAAAGAGTCGTCATTACAATTTCTGGTCCAAAAGAAACGTCATCTGTGTAAAGAAATTTGAGCAAAGCCAAGAAAGCTCCAGGCTCGATATCAGGCAAGTCGATATCTTGGCTACCTTCTACATTATTTGTTTCTGCCACTGCAAACTGTCGTTTATTTTCAAGACACTAACGATAAGTACATATTGATTTTTGATTTAATGTAACTTTGGCGAAACCAAGATATACCAATTGCATTGTTCGCCAGCCCACCGTTAAACATCGCATCAAAAACAGCTGAACCAGTAATTAGTACGAATTTATGTGCAGGAATTCTCTGGAAAAAAGATATCAATATATATTGATTGTATATATATATTTGAAAAATTATGCAGATTTCCCATTTACATAACAAAAAAGCCGATAAGTTTCGACAGCGTATAACAAGTGTAACCAAAACATACCTGCGTTAGTTCGCCACGGCCAACAACAAACCAAACATCAGCAAGAATTTCGTTGCAATACAAAAACGCAAAACGTTCCTTCAACGTGCTTTTGGATGCTTGCCAGCCCATATATGGTACTTCATCAGCTCCCCTTCGATCAAAATAATTACCTAATTTTTATCGCACCAAAGAAATCATACATTCAGCTGTTATATAATGCTCCTGATTAAAACGACAATTTCATGCATTCAAATAATCCAAAGATTTGCTGTTTTAATGCGAAAAAAAAAATTAAGACAAAATCTGACATCAGTGAGCATTTACTTGCTACAGCGTCTTCGATTCTCGAAGCATCGTTTACAGGGCGTCCCACAGCGACAGCATTATGAAGTGGATATTGATATGAACCTGCACTTGACCCGTTTACATTCAATCATATTACGCTTTGAAAAGTAAGAGTAAAAAAATCCCGAATGATACTTTGTGTTATCATTAATCTTATGATATTTTAAATGCTGAAAGACTTGATAAATGCAGTACCTAACCGGTCATTATAGCTTTTATGCTCAGTATTCAAAGAATAAGCTGCCGATTTGCATATCAGTAACTTCTTGTACAAAATTACCTTCCGTATCTGTGCAAATCATATCCCATTACCTTTCAATTCACAACACTGATATCATCGAAGGTACATCAGATGAGCTCCATCTCACGCTACCCAGAAAAAAACTCATGCACAACAAAGATAAACGGAATGTGTAAATTATTATTAAAAATACTAACCGCCTTGAATATCAACTAGACGTCTATTCACTGAAACACGAAAAGACGATGCATTCTGAACGATAGATGTTACATCATGCAGTGACCTAGAAGTTCTGATCATAAAAATTCTCTTATGTTTCAAGGGTAATAAGAAATAAATTGACAGTGAAAGAAATTGTGTAACTGAGTTTGCAGTGGAAATGTAGCTTTTACACATGATATTAGCAGTACATAACCAAGCTTATCAAATGACCCCATAACTTCTCCCGCTCCTGTAGTGATGACACCAACTGTTCCATCTGTTTTTTCAAGGAATTCGGAAGGTTTGGTGTTTGGATCATCCAGCAAGCGTCGCTGCTCATCCAGGACATCATCAATTGTTTCCTATGCATTAAATATGATAGCAATTTCACAACTTAGAAAAGGCAAAGAATTTAAAGCGGAAATAACTGCTTTACTAAAATCAAGCGAAAACTCAAATTTGAAGTACCGAATGAAGATCCTGCTGCTCAATAATATCACCAATCGGCATGCAGATATGATTTTGCAAACGAAATTGTTGCAGATCAGCAATGAGTGGATAACTACTTTCAATTTTTAATGATCCATCTTCGACACACGATTCCGACAAATCCTAATTTGTAGAATTGTTGAGAGGCACAAATGTGACTTGCACTTCACTGTTTTTAATAATTTGGATTATAATAATCTGTCCTTCTATTGTCTATTAAAAAAAAACCTAAGTCTATTAACCTCCACTATGAGTGTTAAAAAAATTCCATTTACGGAAAATACAGCGCAACATGCATAGAACGAGACTTGAGCACTCTCAAACTATAGTCATGTCCCGTCAGTAACAGTAATCACCAATACAAAGTCTTCTATATACATTATTTTGAACTTACATCTACAAAATGTACATCATTCTTGTTCATATTTCCCAGTGGAAGAGTGACGCTTGGATCAGTAAGTAAGTTTGAGAGAGTACGAGCAGAATTAGCTGCAGTAGTTGCATCATTTTGCTGGTGTGTACTTCCTGACAGTATAATGCTATTCAAAAAATAGTAATTACCAAAATAGAGACCAAAATATTCAATTAAATAAAATTTGCATTGTCAAGAAGGCAATAAAACTTCGACATCAAATCTGCACAGTGGTATAAGAGTCGCAACGTTAGATGTTATAATTATACTTTATGTTGATCATTGATCATCATGTAGCCAGTATGCTAATATATTTTAAGTTTCACACTTGCTTGAACCTATGCTTTCACAGTATTTCACAGTAGTAACACGCTATTCAATATGTGTGCTTTATAATGTTAACATTAATATGTATTGCAGTTGGATGCAAACAAAAATAATACCATTGTGAAGATCGCAAGAGTGATTAGAGGGCTGGTGACAAGAAGTAGGAGCATACGAAGTTGGTTCACTCCGAGAATCCTGAAGGCATATCCCTTTATTCGTCGGTGTTGCAGTCCGATCAATTTTTTGTCTGATCTCACCTGAGTTAAACTCTGAGGATGACATGCTGAAATTTGTGGAAATATGTACCGGTGGTCGCCTGAAGTTTAACAAATATTTTAATCTCGATCCTGCAAAAAGGAGATAGAGCCTTGAGAAAAGTTAACTTTGTCGCTAACGCAACCGCTGCATGTAATTTTTCCAACCACTTAACATCATAAATTTAAACGACTTATACATCGTCAGCACACTGCATATTTCGCATATACACAGATTTTCGAAAGTCGATCCCGGACCCGTTTTTAATTAGAATGCTCGACGCCTTCAAAAATCTCAAGGACATAGATGCTGGCCGTTAACGTTTCCATCCGTACTTCATGAAGCGGTCTAAGTGCTCTTATCCTTCTAATAGGGTCTTCATGAAATACCCGGTGACCTCTCTCGGAAATTTAGTCGTTTTATGCACGCGTCAGTAATAAAAGAACATGGAAGAAAAGTCTAGTGGTGGGGGATATGTTTGGTCGTATATTTCGGTTACTCTTACTAGAGCGAGTTCCTATGATGTGGCATGATTTTGTAATATGAATAATTTTTCTTGCCTCTGGTATCCACTAAGTTATTACATCCATCATTTATGTCTATTATACTTTATTAATTGAGTTTACTTTGAAATGATATGATGCCGTTATAGTGATATGGAAACAAGACAGTTTTTCATTTTTACTGTCCAGAAAACTCCATGAATCGTTGGTATGAAGGATTTGAAAAGTGCTGAGTTTGTAATTTTTAAGCCATTTTCTGTAAAGGTGCTTTTTATGATTCAAATATCGAAAATGCTATAGTTTGGTACAGTCATTGTCCATCGCTTTTATTTTATTAATTACAAGTCTTTAGAATTTTATCTTATCTTCATACTATTGCCCCAACTTCATGTTGTTTGCATCGTTAAGAAATTGAAATTAGACTAATTTGGTGAACTGAATGGAATTGGTGATTCTCACCTCTTCGGTGTCAGGGATTCGAAGGTGTATTTGTTAAGATTACAGAAGCATGCCAAGACAAGATCTCTATATTGATTAGATATCGAAAATAGTAGTGTGTTAGAGTTTAAGATAACTGTCTGATATGTCTATGTTAGACTTCTTGCTAATAAATTCACAAATTGTATTTTCTTATAACATTTTGTGTTCAATCATTATTTTTTATTTACTCGCATAAGTGAAATAGCCAAAGGAATGATGACAGTAAAATCGTTTTTTTAATGCAAAGGTTTTAAAAGGATAAAGATTAGATATCCCTATAATTATGAGATTTTTTTACTTTGAGGTTGTAAAAATATGACATTTTTATGCCTTAATAAACTCGACTGATTTGGTAATTAGTTTTGGGATTAAGCTGGCTATTTAAAGTTGCCAAAATTTCAAATAAGTTTATACAAAAAAAAAACCTGAAAAAAAGTTCATATAAAATAGGCGTTCTTCGAACAGTTTTTTGTTAAAAAGCTGGAACAACACACTCTTTTTCTCCTTTTCCTATCTCTCTAATACATTAATAGATTGTCATCATGAAATATTATGCGAACAGTTTAACAAAATATGCAGTCAACAAATATTTGTAAATCATCGACTAGCTCTGTTAGAATGTATGAATGAGCGTAGCGATTCCTGCTATAAATAATAATTCATGTCGACCACTGCATCTTTTTCCGAATTGCATGATGCCAGCATAATATTTCTTATGGCCACCACTGTATCAGTAATCGATTGATTTGAATTGTGCGCTACCAAACAAAACTGTAAAGTAGTAATATACTTAAAGTCAAAGTGTTTAGTGAGCACTCTTTTGAAAGCGTATTGCTTAATGAGGTTGGAAATAATTTAAAAGAAAAAAATGAAAACAAACTAACACGAGTAGTACGTGCTGGGAGCTGAATCCTAGCAGTATACCATTCACGCGTTTTTCTGGATAATTGTGCTCCCAGAATTAACGATGGGCATCGGGCAAAAGTTGATGAATTTTTGTGCAGATAGATAGAACAGCTGTACAAACATATTCGAATATTCGCATAAAATGATGACCTATAAATTAATCTCATTATTTATTCAATTTCAAACAATTCTAGAGATCGTAGTAGTGAAATATTAGTATTGCCTGTAATATTGGAATAGAACGATTTCTGCCTTAGATGTAGTTTTGAATCGTGGTGATTCTAATATGGCATACTGGCCGGGCGATAACGTTGTGCTGATAAAGTGATCATTCGGTGGAACTGAAATCTATCTCTTAAAGCTGAAAGTTGAGCTCCTTAAAACTTTTCTAAAACATTGATAAACGTCCATAGGCCAACAGAACTCATCTAACTGATATATTTTCACAAGAAATATTAGCTCTCAATTATCACTATAATCTGCATAGAGAATAATATCATTCGGTTTTTATGTGTGTGTTTGAGAAGCTGTTCTTAACACTAATTTATGAACACATGTATCTCGGCTGATTCTCGAAATCTATGTCTGCTTGTGACTTGTAACTTAATTTAACAAAATCATCCCTTCATCAAGTTATAGCAAAAAGAAATAAGCTAACATGGGAGTAAATTAGCGAGTTTTAAAATAGTTTCGTAGTCGCTACTTCGCAATATCCATGGAACCTTTGTGAGTCCATGATTCAAATAATTACATGCGTTTTCTGTAATTAACATCTGTTGTTAAAACAGTGGGTTAATTTACAGCTACATTTACTCAGTTCTGGTAAGAAGCATACCGATTTTTATGTCTTTTTTCTTCTTATCTTGGGAAATTTCTCCCAACTCATGTTTTAGATACATTAATGTTTACTTTGAGCTATCTTGTTCATTTATATCATTATATTCTCGGTTTATCTTATTGGAAACTTTGTCGACACATATTTGCGTAAAGTTGTTTGAGAAATACCTGAACTGTTGGATTTATCAATCAAAATTAAACATGCTAAACGACTTTTAGAAAAAAAATTTAGATTTGTTTTTAGATAATATACACTCGGTAAGAGTGAAGATATCTACGAACCTTCGAAATTACAATTGAGTAGTTCGCAATAATTCAAATACGTAGAATCTGTCAATGACTGATCAGAAGTTATGATAGGTGGTAAAGTTATCTGTTTTGAATAATTAGTTCTTGGAACTGATGTGCTTTTTGAAGCTTTGCCATTCTGTTTCTCTCGTGGAGATTCAGTGTTATCTTTTTCGATAGTCCAAACAAAATTTTCATAAGTTTTCGATTTGGTCCTGGAAAGTATGAAAAAAATATGGAAATTCCTCATCAGTAAAAACTGGAATTGCATCAGCTGTTACCAAATAATATTGCCGTTTTGCTCGGTCAAAGATCTTTCACTGATTTCCTCGTTCAGCTTTTTTGTGTCGCAGTTTCCAAGATAAGCAATCTCATTGATAATCAAGTATTGATTCCGTGCTGTGTTGTCCCATTGTGGAATAATATTAAGCTGCAAATTCAATCTTAATTGTGTTTTTCAAATTCTTCCAAGGTTATCTTTTGAGCTTCAAAATAGAAACCGTAAATGGCTCAAGAATTGATTGTTTGAAATCGAAGACTAAGAGAGATTTGTCATCAGCGATTTCGTCATCCTGACTTGCGCCCATGCATTCCACTTTTTTGCTTCCAATACCGTAGCCAATCGCGCATGCTTGTACAGTTGGAGAACCGTTCGTCCAATGTCGAAAGATCAGCTGAAGTTTAAATTTTACATGACTGCAGAAATTTAAAACGAAGCAGTTGCAGTGTCAGTTGCGATAATTTTAAATTTTCTGAGGAATATTTTCAAACAGTAATGATGTATTCACAATATACAAACAATGACGCACATTAAAAGCATGAAGAAATGGTTCGACGACCATGGTTACGATAAAATTCATTCTTTTGTGTAATTAATCTACTGAGATAAAATAATATTTTAAGAGTAAAATTTGAAATAATATTTTAAGAGTAAAGGACTTTTTTAGTCAAAAATACGATCACCTTTCCTGAACCAGTTTGGCATTTCAACGGATCACTTGTCAACATTGCTGTTCCTTGGATAACAATAGCTACAGGATAGGATGGTACTGGAAAACCATCTGGTACGGTCACCGAAGGTAACGCACCTGCATTAACTTAAAATTAACAAAAAGGAACTGTGCGTTATTAATCCAGTCTACCTATGAAGAAAATTGGGCTTCGAGAAATATTCCAAAGAACCGAACAAAAAGGGCTCTCAAATGGAAATATAAGCAGATGGCGTAATGCTTTTTGTTTTACGAAAACCGTATAGAAGAGGATTGATTTCCTTTCCAAACACAATAGTCACAGTCAACAACAATTTCGGATTAATGGACGGAAAGAGATTGACTTTCCTAATAGCAATAATCTTTTCAAACCACTACGCTATACCATGCCGCATAGTTCGCATGAAGAAATTAAATGAAAAGCTGAAGTTGCAATTAACTTTACTTCCATAAGGTTGTGAAATTTTCTAGAAATATGAAATAACCTTCTTGAATGATTCCCCATCGACCACTTTCAGGACCCCAAAGGCAAAGAAAATTATTAGCGAAATCGCAAAATAGCATTGTGTTATTGCTAATAATTCGTCCTCTGCGATTGTCGAAGAATGGAGTTGTTTTGCTCCCAATAATCAGCAAATCGAATGGTGGCTCTGTTGATTCAATTGCCAGGCTAAAATCGAAATGTAAAATTGAAAGAAATATTGCTAGTTTTCACACTCACATTAAAATAGCGAGAAAAACGGTACACTTACGTAGACTCCGTCGATGAAGTTATGGTGACGCCTCCACTTCCTGCACCGAATGTTATCTCTTCGACAGTTTTCTGAATAAAATAATGACATCTAAAGTCTCTCAAATCCGATTAACTTTTGGTAAATTTTGGTGATACTTGTTAATGAATTTTAATTGAATAGGTGTAAAATACGTACAGAGTTTTCCTGTATGAGCAAAACAAATCTAAAAAATGAACTGAAATTTTTTTTCAGCCTATATTTTTGGTGATTGTTTGCCTTCAGTGAAAATACTGGAATATTGTATCAATCAATTGTTATTGTTTATAGAAATTTCCCTCCAATGTTAATGATTACACAAAATTGATATTGGTATATCTGTAAATGAATGGACTAGTAACTAATAGTACTATCGGCATTATATTACTAATATACTAATACAAATATTTTTGGTCAGGCTTTTTGAAAGAGTGATTATTATAAACATTACTAAAAAAATAATAATTTGAATTTTTTTATGGATTCGCTGTTCCTCTAATCAGCTCCTTATAAATTTAACACTTCGCGAGCTATTTTTCTTAGTCGTTTCATAGAAAACAAAATGACTTTACAGGAAGCAATTATTCATTTTATCAATCTTTTAATTAGAATTATTTCTAGAAAATTTGCATATCAGACATCAATTCGAGATTTTATTCTTGCAATGCATTTTCAATTATTATTAATCGTTTAATTTTTACAGCCAATCACATGTTGTGAACATATTTTGCACTGCAACATAATTTTAAAAAAAAAACTCCTGGAAGGCTTAATATTTAATAACAAGTTATTATTAATATGTTGAAATTGATAGAGACACAGGAGAAATTAATTTTTCTGGTGTGGCTCGTAATAAAAGGGATTTTAAATTGAATCTATGAATTCATTATTGAAAAAACTTCACTCTTCTACTTCACGTCTTGAATTCCTTAGCAGAATTACAGTTTCTTTACCAAAACGTTCTTCCATACTTATTGAAAATGCTAGCAATTCCTGTGCGACTAAGTTGAACACAGGAAAAAAAGACAAGTGTAGAAGTAATTCAGGTTTCATCACATTTCCAGAAGAAATGGATTCCTACATTTGCACCACTTCCAAGAAAAAATTGAAAAAGAACGGTGTATTTTGCTCACTTTAATGATTTTCAAGTGGAGATGGAAGATAAGCTTCTAAAATTTTTTATAAATTCTATAAATTTTGTAGAAATTCTATGAAATTCAAATAGTTTTCAATATCCTTACTTGAGAAGAATTAAAATTTTCGCTTTTTATAAGAGGGATAAGGGTAACAGTGGAAATTTCTCGTTGACATAGCACTCCATCGTATCCGATGTCATCTATTGCGATCATTCCAATCGCTATATTCGGTATAATAGCGATCTGTGACACAAGCAAATAACATACATGAAGGAAAAGATCGATTGCAAATGAATTTCAGTAGAAATTAAAATATTCATCGATAAATTAAGTTTTATACTCGAAATGGCTCCTGTACATGCGGTAATGAAAGCAAAACTTTTCTTGGCATAGGTCGTTCACCCAGCATTGGCGTACAATTGAATTTCTTGTTTAGTAAATCGACCAAACAAACTTTCAGGTTAGCACCACCTACAGTTAAATTTGAAATTCAAATTAGAAAATTTATTTGTTCTACTTACTTGCAGGTTTATATATTGTATTAAAAAAGAAAAAAACACTTTTAATTAAATTTATTTGAATGTTGAAAAATATAGCACCCATTATCCAGTAAGTAAATGATAGTAATGCAGTGCCATCCTGACATTGTATCTCATCGCTTAAAAAACGATCTGCTTGCTGCCCGCGAAGTTCAATCATAGCAAACGGTTCCCCTTAAATGATATGAGAGTAGATATTTTGTATTAAAAAATCTAATATAGAGAGTTTGGAAATGTTTGTTTAGATTTCTTAGCATCTTGGCACAACACTATTTCAACTTTATGCTGAAACTTGGAGAAAAGTAATAAACCTGGTCGCTGAATGGTACCCGTAGAAGTAAGCCATAAAAATAGCTCCGGTTCACCCTGAGCTAACCGCCAGTGATCTGCTGTATCTCCTTCAGAAAACCATCTGCATGGTTTATCAAACGTGCAATTGTAGTTAACTGTAGCCATATCAGTTTCATTTGAACTATAGGGAGGTAAATCAGAGGTCGTCACAAATATGCCCAAAGCAATCTTAATAGGCTGTTATCAATTTATATTTGGGATATAATGTATGTTAAAGAGTGATGGATAAAAGATTCTGCTTTTATTAAAATATAGACAATATGTACTCTAATTACTCTCACCATAATTGCAATAGTTTTTAACCTAATTTCCATGTTTTTAAAACAGAAAATAATCCGTAGAACTGGAATATCCAAGTTTCTCGCAAATTTAAATTTCGATTCATCATAATGAATCTAGTAAGGCTAACGTTTAGCGCCCGGGTTCTTTGGAAAAAGAATCCTTTCAAGAAATTTTAATTTAAAGATAGTAAGACAAAAATGTTTTTTAAAACAAACAAAAAAGAGCCTGAACACGAAGATGAGAGGGGTCTCGTTTTTTAAGAGATAGATAATAGGAATTCTGTAAGCTGTTTAATTTTTTAATTGTGGCCGCAAAGGAGGCGTTTATTTGTGAGGTTAAATTAGATCAAATTGTAGAAATAGAAATGACTAAATAATATGATTTGATATTGCCGAGAGTATAAGAGTGGTTCAATGTGGGACAAAGCGAGATAACGTGAGTAGAAATGAATTTTACTGATGATGAAAGAGTCCAAAGATTTAGAAGTAATATTTTTTGTCTTTTTTCTTTTGTCAAACCAAGTACCTGTAGAATTCGGCCAAGAAATGTTGAAATAACAGGTGCTGTTTCAGTGACCACAGCGTCCATCATTACTTATTATCTATGAATAATATTCTTGTACGGGATTTTCAATGAAACTTCAGATATAAGTAAAACTCACAAGTAGCCTCAACAGCGAAAATTTTCATGCACTGAAATCTCAGAAATTTTAAAAGATATGGAATAATAAATTTTATTGAGTACTCGGTGCCAAGAAAGAGACTAGAAAATTTAGTTGGAAGAATTAAAATTTATGTAGTCAATTCCAATAACTAATAAATCAACTGGAAAGTTGTACAATAAAAGCAAATGAAACTTTGAAAGCTACAGAGAAGAGACGATAAAAGATAAATGTATGCATATATAGCAATTTTATTTAATGAATATTGATAAGTTGTTATCAAATAGCTGTAAAAAAGATGAGTGAGAGAAGAGAAATGGACGGATCGAATGAAGATGTCGTCTGAATTAGTTCATTTGAATTTAACTAAATGTAGAAGATGAGAAAAAGGAGGTGGATGGAAAAGGAAGAGTACCTATTGAACTACTTCAAATGTGTCATACTGACCATATAAACTTTGGATTAAAGTACCAGTAAAATTGAATAAGCAATAAAATAAATTTTTCCAGTAGAACGAAGTTAGTTTATGTGTAAAACGGAAACAACGTTGGTAAGCATTGAGTGGAAAATCGGATGTTTAAGATTGAAAATATGTAAACAATAAATTCACGTACAGATCGTGATTAATAAAAAATGAAACGATGGTTTTGCTACTATCCTAACTAATTTTGTTGTAATGTAAATATAAGTTCGTTATTTGATCGCAAAAGGACTGACTAAACCGAACAAGATCAACAGCAGTAAGCATTTTTTTATCATTAATCGTCTAGCAGCAGTGCAAGAAATTAGGGAATTTGTAAAGTGGGACTGTGCATGGCGTCGATAGCATTCGAAATACAAATTCCTTTTTCATGCAAAATTGAATTTTTCATTAAACTATTTTACACAACATTGCGGATCGTTCCTCATTAAACCCACAAGACACATTGGAAGTGATACCCAAATCTTTAAAATGTCAACTAGACAAGAAATTAAGGTATTCTGCCGAATAATTCAAGTTGCACATTTGGTCTTGTGATATGTGATATATTGTGACATATCTTGCGATATATTGTGATATATTGTGACTTGTGATATATTTGGTCATATTTGGTCTGTAGTCAAGCATGTGGTTAAATTTAACGCTTTTTATGAATTCTTAGTGAAGGGTAAATTCTTTCGGATTGAAGATAACATACTTTACGATTTCTGATTTTAAATCTGGTGATAAATTTAACCCATTAACCTCACATCATCTTATCATAAATTCTTCATTCTGACTGGATACAATTATTAAGGATTTCAATCAGTAATTTTGCTTTATTTGAAATAAATCAGCTTATCCATCTTATGACTTAAATAACTTTTGAGGGAAAATGGCATAAAACGATGAAACCAGCCAGGCGAAAATGTTTGCAGGCAGTAATGAGTGGTAAAATATCGGACGATAATGGATGTTTCATATTTATAAAATTTGAGCATGACAAAATTCAGAATTGTACAAATACATAGTATTTACACTAACTTTGCAAAAGTAATGAAGAATTCTAGCTACTCTAACATAGACTAATTATCTGCTAGAGATCCATTGAAATTATGATAGCTAAATATAAATTATAAGCGGAAGAGGAAAGATCAAAATTTTTTCTTCATAGTTATATTTCACCATGTGATAACTGAATAACTTCTGTTTTCTTCCTCTTCTTTCTGTTATATATCTTTTTGAATCTTTAATTAGCATACATTTAAAATTTTTAGTCTAAAAAAAATCATTTGCTAGTCTTCTTCTAATTCTACATGAAAGCAAATCGGTAGTCCGTGCCTCATTCGAAGTTAGTTTCATTAGTTTTCCTTAATCTTTTGTCTTTTCATGTAAATATGCGTACAGTTGCAGCTTAATGTTTAATTTACAGTTATTTGAACGGCTTGTCACAGAGATCGCAATACCTGGGAATAAAACATTAAAACATATTGTGGGAAGGATAGCATAAAAATAATTTTTACGCGTACTGGAGAAATTTTTTTACAGCTGCGGAACTCGAAATTGAAATTAATTTTACCTCCAAAAATACTTAAATCTTTTAGCAGGCAAGAATGAAGACGCTATGAAACAATTTCTAATGAAATATATGATTGAAAACATTTCTTGGTAAAAAAGCTTAACAATAAACACAAACTTTTTATAGCAACTTTAATATATGTCCTGTAGTTTGTGTAGTTGAAGAAATACTTCAGTAACAAGTTTCTTTTGATCAGTACGGATTTGAAGTTCAACGAACAGCGCAAATTTCATATTTCTTTTCAAATACGAGCAGCATGGAATCATCCGTAATAATCATTGAGAATCTCTAGTTATTCAATAACAGATGTACTATCACAAATGGTGGTACATCTGTTACATGAACCGTGGAAGGTTTCGACCAGCTGCAAAAGGTTATATTTTAATCCATCCATTCATTAAACAATCAAAAATTCTGATTTGAATTTTCGAGTGAAATTTAAATGCTTTGGATTTGCTTGACGATTTCCAAAAGCACGCTTCGCTATATATATACTTCGCTATATATATACTATATATATACTTCGTCGAAACCAGATAACTTTTTGCAGGGTCAATTTTGGGAGCAATAAAAAAATGTGATAAGTGGAAGAGTCATCTTTATAAAACACCGAAAACTTTTGCAATCTTTGAAATTTGGACGCAAAGCTTTAATTCAATAAAAGCATCCGGAACTAATGAGAAGTGGAATTTCAATTCAAAATTGTAAAATATGGTGAGAAAAACAGTAGATGACGCTAATAGAATATAACTGAACCTTTTTCTATACTATCAAATATATGCTGAATCATGGAAATATCACTTAAATTGTTACGATAATTAACTCAGAATACCTGTGAGTAAAATAAGCCTGGAAATATAACGAAATTTAGTGATCAAAATCATACGATGGCACATGATCCCGTCGATATGGAAAAATTTTTAATACGATGGCACATGATCCCGTCGATATGGAAAAATTTTCTAAGGAACAGTCTTATAAAGAAACTCTGATCTGAAATTCAAGAATACTATCTAAAATGTGAGAAAATAAAAATGGATTTTTATTATTTTCATTATTTTTTAGAGATAAAGCATCAAATTATGGATTTAAGGATTCATTTAAATTAGAGAATTCATGCATAATAAAATGTAAATAAAATCCTTTTTATTATATATACGCATTGCTCTGGTGATCAGGGAAGAAGTACTATTTACTTAAGTAATCACTAACTTAGTAATTCATTTTATATAAGGCATATTAAGCAGAATTATTTAGTATTGGATGCATTACGTTGATTACACAGTTTTAATTTGAAAAAGTAGATATTGTGCTAGTTTTGATTACTTCCAGAAAATGCGAACTGAAAATGAGAGGAAGGCACTGAAAAGGGAGGAAAAATGATAACTTTACTGGGGACGTAGCCAAGGATACACATGTTATTCGAGATGGGTATTGCAATTTAGCTCTTCCTACGCTTCCTACTTCTATAGAATTAAAAATCGATCTCCTCTTACCCTTCTAACGGACTTGCTTTCGTCGCGTTGAAGTATGGACGAATAGATAGTTCAGATAGACCAGATGGATGTATATGTAAGTAGAGAAACAGATGGATGTTTTATTTATTGATTAAATTAGATTAGATATTCGTATATTACATTAGGTTAGATAAATAGATGGAACGGATGGGTAGGAAGATAGATGTGTAGATAGATGGATAGATATATGGACAGATGGATAGATTAGATAAATGGATAGATTAGATAAATGGATAGGATAGATTAGATGAATAGGATAGGATAGATTAGATGAATAGGATAGGATAGATTAGATGAATAGGATAGGAAAGATTAGATGAATAGGATAGGATAGATTAGATGAATAGGATAGGATAGATTAGATGAATAGGATAGGAAAGATTAGATGAATAGGATAGGATTAGATGAATAGGACAGGATAGATTAGATGAATAAGATAGGATAGATTAGATGAATAGGATAGGATAGATTAGATGGATAGAGTAGGATAGATTAGATGAATAGGATAGGATTAGATGAATAGGATAGATAGGATAGGTAGGATAGATAGATAGGATAAATAGATAGGATAGATAGGATAGATAGATAGATACGATAGATAGGATAGGATAGGATAGATAGGATAGGATAGATAGATAGGATAGGATAGATAGATAGGGTAGGATAGATAGGATAGGATAGATGGATAAATTAGATGGATAGATTAGATACATGATAGATTAGATAGATAGATAGATTAGAAGATGGATAGATTAGATAGATGGATAGATTAGATAGATGGATAGATTAGATATAGATAGATAGATAGATAGATAGATAGATACATGATTAGATAGATAAATAGATAGCTGGAACGGAGGGGTAGATAGGCGAAATGGATGAATGAGAAAGAGATCGAATGGATGGAGAGGTGGACGCATGCATCGATGCATGGAAGGTTGTACTCCAGGGTAGCACAAATAAAAATAGGACCCTCTCTTTCTCCACTCAGTAAATTGATGAGCTTCTGGGCCAATGACTAGTGAAGACCAGGACCACAGAAACTTTCTCTTCTCAATCAACAGCCTTATATAGCTGGGACACATAATTATCCCTCACCCATATTATCCCTCACCAGTGATTTAGAAAATTTCGTCTTCCTACAAAGCGTCTTGCTCTTTCTGTCACATTATTTTTCAAAATTCACAATACCGACGAATTTCTCACTTCCTCATGCTTGTTTTAAAATAAACAGTGAGTGGAATGAATGTGTAAAAAAAAGTGACAGCACATTATCTACAGTGTGCCTTATATTTCGTAAGTGCAATCGTACCAAGTGCGTCTTTCCTCAATGAAAAATCCTTTGCCATTTACTTTATTTTGTTTACAGCT